TTACGCTAAACGAATTTGGGATCAATCTCATATTCATCTCCCTAATCTTTACACTCCTTCCATTGATAGTGAACAAAATTTAAAAAATATTATTGACTATCAGTTCACATCATTGTCACCACATGAAAGAATGTTGCCTTTATGGCTTCTGTGGCATATTTGGAAATCGAGAAACAAATTTATATTTGAAGGTATTTGGATATCTCAAAGCACAGTCCTTAATAGATCAAATTGCGATGTTCAAGCCTGGATTAATCACACTTCCATGGAAGCAAATCCTATCACTTTGGGGCCTAGAAATTCGCAACAGCAACTATGGACTCGACCATCGATGGATACTTTAAAATGTAATTTTGATGCGGCTTTTGATAGCATAACTAGGAGCACAAAAGGGGGATGGATTATTCGTAACTCAACTGGCGCATCTTTAGGTTGGGGAGCTTCTCAACTAGGGACATCTATTTCACCGTTAGAAGCCGAAGGAAAGTCATTATTAGCTGCACTACAACAAGTTTGGTTAAGGGGCATTACGAACATTTGTTTTGAAGGAGATTGCAAGTTATTAATTGATATGTTACACAAGCAACACTATGACATCACAATTGAAGCAGTTATTCGTGACATTCTCTTTTGGGTTGAGAAATTTTCCAATATTTCATTTGCCTTTTGTAATAGAAATTGTAATAAAGTTGCTCATTTGTTAGCTTACTCTGGATGTAATTCAACTACCTTTTATTCTGATTTCTTGAATCCGCCTATATGGCTATCGGACCAATTGTATTACGATTTTCACAATTATCAAATATAATTTTATTTTGACGAAAAAAAAAAAAAAAACTATACAAACATCAGATCAAACCCGTTTTCTGCGCCAAAACACCCGAGTCACGTAATGAACCTATTAGTCCGAAACAAATAAAACTAGACTAAAGACAAAGCCAATAGCTTCCGGCCCATTTGTACTTTAACCGACAAAAGTCAAAAACATATTGTTACGAAAACATAATGGTCTCTTGCTAGGTCTCTCTCTAGGTCTAAGTTTTCATCATCCCTCTTGCTTTGTTGGATCGGCAAATCATGAAGTCATCGTGTCCCATATCATCGACTAATGATCTCATCCTCGAGATCTTCTCGAGGCTGCCTTCAAAGTCGGTCGCGAGGTTTCGTTGCTTATCAAAGATATGGGCATCAATGTTGGGTAGTCTATATTTCAAAGAGTTGTTCTTGACCAGAACTTCGGCTAAGCCGCGTCTCTTATTCGCCATCGTAGAAAACGACGAGGTCCCCGGCTCAAACGATGTGTGGAGTTTCTTCTCGTTGCCTCAGCTTGAGTATCCATATGAGCAATCATCATTGACGAGTCTAGTAGCAGCAGCCGAATTTCATGTGAACTTCTCTCCCAAAGATCTACGTATTAGATATTGCTATGACCCAAGATATTTTTCATATGGCTACGCCTCTGGCTTGTTATATATTTATGGTCATCGATGCCAGGCTAGACCTGTGATATATAACCCTATCACAGGACGGTATGCGATTTTACCTAGACGGTATACTTACAGAAAGGCTTATAGCTTTTTCGGGTTTGACCCGATTGACAAGCAACATAAGGCATTATCCAAGACTTATCCAGGTGGTCCTGGTCGTGATAAAATTCTTACGTTCGGAGATGGAGATATGAGGTGGAGAAAGGTAAAATGTTCTTTAGTACATGATATTGAGAGTCAAGGGATCTGCATCAATGGGGTTTTGTACTATTTAGGTGTCTCGAAGGGTTATCCTAATGATGATCATGTTGTAACGTCTGATAATGTGATAATTTGCTTTGATCTTAGGTCTAAGAAATTCACATTTATTAACGTAGAAAGATTTTGTGAATTGATAAACTATAAGGAAAAATTAGCAATGATTTATTGGGAGGATGATATCAGCGATGATACAAAAGATGATACAACTAATGTGTTACATCTGTGGGTTCTAAAAGATGTTGAGAAAAGTGAATGGTCGAAACATGCCTACACTTTGAGGGAAGATAAATTTTTCCGTCTTGATCAAGTTTCCATCGCTGGAGCGACCACTTCGGGTGAAATACTGTTTTCGATGAGTGAGTATACACCTAAAGAACCGTTTTATGTTTTCTACTTCAATCCCGAAAGGAACACTCTCCAACGTGTTGAGATCCAAGGTTTTGGTGAGATCCAAGGTATCGTCGTTCATACCTTTGTAAACCACGTAGAAAATCTTGATGTTAACGACTTAAAACTACTCAAGTCATCCCATCCTCTATTGGTGGAGCCAAAAGATTTAGGACCATCAGATTCAGAGTCATCTTCAGAAGAAGAAGAAGACGAAGAAGACGTATATGATAATGATGATGAAGAAGAAGAATAAGATTGAGAAGGGACAAGGAGAAGAAGATAAAGACAAATGATTGGAGTTAGGTGAAAGCAATGGGCATGACAGTTTTAGTGTGCTCTCTTATCTTTGCGTTCTATGCACTTTTGATATTTACCCATTGCATTTTTGATATTTCAAATTTTAAGTGTACCTCTTCATTGAAATTGATGCATGGAAATTTAAATTAAAGTGTACTTATTTTCTAGTTTTAATGTTAATTGTATACAACAGTGTTTGTGAATATGAATTTGAATTCGGCTTATATAGTAGTAGGCAATGCAAACAGAATTTACAAGCTAATGTTGTCCATCATTGCGGATCGATGTTGGAGGTAGTACAACAAGCTTTGATTTTCTTGACGCTGACATGAGAGGTAGAGAGAATACAGAACTTGACGTTGGTGACATTACGTTGTAAGTAAGGAGCAACACATGTCTCCTCTTTAGTGGTTTCATTCAGTGAGTCATGACATGCAAAAGAACAAGCTGCCCACTGTTGTTGGCCATACAATACTTAGTATCAACAGTAGAACCTGAGATTGCGATATTTGAGGAAACTAGAATAGCCTATAGCAATTGTTGGTGCAGGAATTAGCACGAACGACATACCGACCTAAACCAAAGACAAACCAAGCATTGTGCGAATTCTAGATTCCACATCAATGAGGCAAGTAGTGTTGTTTAAAGTTCTTCTCCGGAGGCCGAACAATCATATGCTTTGGCTGAATGTAAACTCTTATTGGTGATGTTGGTGTATGTCTCTCGCAGCTCATGACACTCTACTGAGATAACATGGCATATAGTCCATGAAAAAAAAAAAAAAATTTTAAATTTAACCCAATTAATTTGATTAATAATAATAATAGGCCCACTAAACTAGATTAAATCTCTTATAGTTGTTGTTGAAAAAGAAAAACTAGATTAAATCTCATTATTAATCTAACTAGGTTCGGACCCGCGCTATAGCACGGGAGAAATAATTACACATATATAACTTTTAACGGATTAAAATATGTTACATTTTAATTTTGTTAGAATGCAGTCGATTACGGTAAATCATATATTTGTATAATTAATAAGTTCAAATAAAATAATAAAAGAAAAAGCAAGTAAATAATCATATACTGAGTTTTGATACAATTAAAAACACGGTGAAAATTTAACAGCACGAAATAGTATTTGTCGATAAATTATTCATTTTGACCATTTTTGTAGTAAAAGTACGAATATACGTAAAATTACATAATTACAATATATTTTTTGAAAGTCCAACCCGTAACAGAATTTATTTCTTAAAAAACATAATTCGTAACTCGCTTTATCATTATAATTGTGATTTTAACAAACTACCCGTGAATTATCTAAAATTTACATTGTTTGATATATAATATATTTTATCAATAAAAATTATGTCTCCAAATTACATTTATGTCTTCAAAAATATTTCAATACTTTAAATTCTAAAACTTTTATATATTTGAACCTTTTATTTATAATATTTTGAAACTATTTGAAATTTTAAATATGCTCATGTAACAATGGTTTTAATATTGGTCATACTTATAATGATTTTAAACCATTTTACAAAATATTTTATCGAGTGTAGTTGAGTATTATATGTTCGTTTTGAAAAATTCAAATTGCAACATATGCACAAAAAAAAATTATTAAATATTTATATTATATAGTATAATATCATAAATTAAAAATAATATCAAATAAAAGTGAAAGAAGAATAATATTTTTTTAAATAGATTGTATTAAATTAGTTAGAGAAATATTAGTAAATCCTATAATTAATTATGGAAATAATACAATTCTAAAATTAGATTTGGAAAGTATCCGGTGTATGTATCCAAACCCATTAATCTATCCAACTTTAAAATATCCAATTACAAATTTCGGGTAATTTTTTGAAATTGACCCGACCCGAAAGCAGTTTTTGTACTTCTCTTTTACTAATATAGGGATTACATTAGTTTTATTGTTTACTTTACCATTTTCTTTTTCTTTTTGAGTTTTGTATTGAAAAGAAAAAATAAAAATATTGAGAATATGTGGATAGGCCAAACTTGGTTGTATTTGCTAGGTTTCTTTGTCTACGTCGTCCTAACAAAAGTATTTTTACAGATCTCTTTCTTCGTTTGATCGGCGCTGATGATTTCATCATCTCCCATATGGAGACTGACTTCAAAGTCACTCGCGAGGCTTCCTTGTGTGTCGAAGCTATGGTCATCAATGTTCATGACCAAGTCCACGGCTAAGCCGCGCCTCTTATTCGCCATTGAAGAAAACGACTGTGGTGTGTGGAGTTTCTTCTCGTCGCCTCAGCTGGATAGTCCATATGAGAATACTTCGTCGACGACTCTTGTAGCAGCCGCCAAATTTCATGTGAGATTCTCTCCAGCCCGGCTACTGATCAGTCATCATTATGACCTAATGTTTTTTTCATGTGGCTACGACTCTGGCTTGTTACATATGTATGGTTCTCGATACCAAGCTAGACCTATGATATGTAACCCCATCACAGGACGGTATGCGATCTTACCCGAACGGTATACTTACCGAAAGGCGTATAGCTTTTTCGGGTTTGACCCGATTGAGAAGCAATACAAGGTATTGTCCATGGCTTATCCATTTGGTCCTGGTCGTCATAAAATTCTTACATTTGGAAATGGAGATATGGGATGGAGAAAGATTAAGTGTCCCTTAAAACATGAAGTTTCGAGTGATGGGGTACGCATCAATGGGGTTTTGTACTATTTAGGTGACTCAAGTAATTGTACAGATGGTAATGCTGAAATGTATTATCATGTAATAGTTTGCTTGGATCTTAGGTCTGAGGAATTCACATTTATTGGCATAGATATGTTTTGTAAGTTGATAAACTACAAGGGCAAATTAGCTTTGATTTATTGGGAGGATGATCCATTCATTTATAAGTTTTCTAGTGGTACGACGGATTCTAATGAGTTGCATCTGTGGGTTCTAGAGGACGTTGAGAAACAGGAATGGTCGAAACATACTTACACTAATTTGAGGTATGACGATTCCTTCCGTCGTGAGGTTTCCATAGCTGGAGTGACTGCTTTGGGTGAAATAGTTTTTTCGATGCGCGAGTATATACCTGAAGAACCGTTTTACGTTTTCTACTTTAATCCCGAAAGGAACACTCTCCAACGTGTTGAGATCCAAGGTTTTGGTGAAGCGACTAAGGAATATTGTCGTGTTCGCACCTTTGTAAACCACGTAGAAGATTTTAATGATAACCAGTTAGAGCAGCTCAAGTCAGTCCATCCTCCATTGAAGGATTCAGAATATGTAGAACCATCAGATTCAGAATCTGACTGATCAGAAGGAACAAGGAGAAGAACATAGAGACAAGATTGGAGTTAGGTGAAATAAATTGGCATGTCATCTTTTTTTCGTCAACCTTATTTATCCTCTTTTGATTTTTAACTTTTCATTTTTACGATTTTGATAAATCATCTTTGTCAAAGCTCCTACATGAGCTGGTTTTTTGAAGGTCATTTGTTTTTTTATCACACTCAAACGTTCTAAAAGGTTGTTCATCTGTTCCTGCATGTTTTTGCTTTGTTTGCATTGTGCAGATGAGTACACTTGAACCTATTTATAATCTTGAAAGCTTTGGTTCTGTATTTTTTCTTTGCTCTCGTTTTTGTTTGAAGTTATATATATATATGTATTACTAAGCGCCAAATATGTGCCAAAGAGAAATATATGCTATATTGCTCAGTCAATTTAGCTTCAACAATAGAACGTGATATGCCTCTTCAAAGATGTATTTGATGTAACCAGTACTATATACAGCCTAAATTAATGAGGCAAGTAGTGTTTGAGCAAATATCACAGCAGCTTCTAATCTTGTTCTCCATAAACAAACGATGCATATCAGCAGCTTGTAATTTGCTAATTCATCACATCGAAATTAATGAAGGCTTATATCTCCTTACATATTGATCGAATTATCAAGCTGGCAACCTTCGATGAAGCTTTACCTCCTTACATATTGAAGTGGAAGCACTGGTGTGAGCTATGAAATGCATGATGGATGCATCAAACCGCGAAGTAGCTTCCTCATAGATTGTTCGACCTGGTGAAGATGGTAAAGTAGCTCCCCCAACCGAATGCCTTGCATTTTCCACATATTTGGAAAATGTTTAGGTCTTTGCGCACAAATTTTTTAGCTCTTTCTCTTTATCTCTCATTCCGCGACAAGCTAATGGTAAAGTAGATAATTTGGCACGTAGAGTACGTACTAAATCGTTTTTAGGTTTTTTTTTGTAAACAACATTCCTCTGGATTGGCTCTTTTAATTTGAGCTTCCCTTTATAGTTGTTGACAAAAAAAAAAATGTACTACCAAAATATGTTAAGAAAGATTCAAAAACAAATTTTTATTATTAACAAAATATATTATTAAAAACGAATTTGGGGAACTAGTGGAAAGGACAATCGTTCCGTCTTTTTCCTCCCTTCTCTCTCTTCTTGGTTCAGATCTAGATCTATATCATTTCTCGGTGGCTTTTGGTTTTCAATCCTCTGATTTTGCTTTGTAACACAAAAACGAACCTGATCTATTCTCTGTCAACCTTGGAGGTTCCTTTCCTCTCGATGTGGTTTCAGATCCGGCGTGTCGGTCGAAGATCTCTGCTTGAGCTCCTCCGGTTTAAAGACGCCGGCAAGGAAAGCGGTGATCTTTGCGGCTCAACCGATAGATCGGATTGTGGTTCCACGGCGGAAGTCGACAGGAGAGATGGTGGATTTGGTTGAATCGCTATGGAGGTTAACGGAAGGTCCGTTTGGATCGTGATGGCCGCCGCTGGTTTCTGGTGATTGGACAACCGATGAGCCGTCGGCTTCAAACACCACCGCGTCTTGCTTCCTCCAGGCCGGATAAAGAAACCAAGTTCGACGATCGGAAGGCGGTCAAGTCGGGAAGGAGAGGCTATGTCGGAAGTAGGTCGGCTCGCTTGGTACGGGAGCGGCTTACAACGTGCCGGGTAGTCGGACGGCTGGCCATTTTGGCAGATATGTAGCGGGTTTGGCCGGTCGGGGGAAAAGAAATGGATGCGGGAGTCAGGTGCTTCCCCTCCGTTGCCTATATACCTCGCCCGGTCGCAAAGTTGGCGATCTCGCAACCGCCGGATTTCATGGCCGGTCGTCTGCGTCCCGGTGTCAATATGACACGAGCCTCTTTTCCGACGATGACTTTTCCCCGACGATCGTCTTTTGTTTTTGTGTTTAATTGTAATTTTCAGAGCCCATTAAGGGGTAAATCTTAATAACAAAGCCCGTTAAAAAAATAATATAAATATATATATATATATATATATATATTTGTATAGAAATTTGGAAAACGGCCAATTCCCCCATAAATTTAGTTGCTTTATCGTATTCATACACAAAACTTTCGAGTGTGCTTATAACTAGATGAACTAATTTATATTTTGAATTTACAACATAAATTATAAAAATGTGGCCAAAACCTACAAATCTAACGATGCCATTATTTAAACTGTTAGTGTAGCTAACTGAGATGCCACATATATGGACAAAACGGCTGTGTTTTGCAAAAAATAAAAGTCTAAAACACAGAAACAACGTCGTTTCATTAATTTTAAAAGTTTTGAAAGATAGGCTTTTTCAAAACTTTTAATATTAATGAAACGTCGTTTTGTGTTTTAGACTTTTATTTTTACCCTTTTCGATATGCTATTTCGATATTTACCCTTTTCATTTTAATAAAGTAATTGATATCAATGCATGGAGATTCAATCATTTTCACATACTTGAAGTTTTGGTTGTTGTATTGTCTATGCTCTAGTTCTTGTAAGAAGCTATGTATAAGACTTGACGAAACTCTTGAGAGGTTAGTTTAGTTTAATTTATATAGTAGCTTAGTTTTTGAAAGGTTGAAAAATTTTATGTATCAATATAATTAGAGCCGTCTCTCAATTTGTGAAGGCCACTATCTCAAAATATTAAAAGACTGGTTTTATACATGTTTGAGTTTCGAATTTGGGTCTATCTCTCTAGAATTGTACTATTATAGAGGACCACAGGCTGATGCTTCACCAGCTTGGTCCATGGGCCGACTCTGAATATAATGGGTCTTGTCTTAAGAGGTTAATTCTTGTCAAATGTCTTTGAAAGATGAAAATTTTAGCGAAAAGTCTTGTCTTTGGGGGTCTCAAGAACATTGTCTTGTTGGCTTGTTGCTTATGAGTTCTCTGTCTGAATGCTAGTATCTATGTTTTATGTTTCAACTTTTTTTTTACTCTATATAAGATCTCGATCTCCCTGTTCTTTTTTCAACAGATTTGTTGGATTTGTTATTAGTGTGTTTGTGTGTGATTGATCATATCCATTTTGTGATACTTTTCATGACTTTATTGTGAGTTCCGTTTTGCGCAGAGGTTTAAATGAATTGATTTGGCCACCTATGTCATCAAAGTGCACTTATATTTTCGGTCAAATGTCCTGAGAGAACTCCACAGTTAAGCGTGCTTATGCTGGAGTAATACAAAGATGGGTGACCTTCCAGGACGTGGTTGTTGGAACTATGCGAGTGAGATCAAAACACAAAAGAAAAGATCATGTGGTGATTTGTAGGATCGGTGAACAAGTCTTTAAGCCTCTCAGACGTAGCAAACCAACCCTCGAATATGGGTGAGCTCACGAGTCTAGTGAGAGTATGTGAGGCCCATTAAAAGAGATGGACCCATAGATTAAGAGTGAACATAGAGTCTACTGGGAGAGGTGATGGTCGGGGGGATTTTGTAAATATAAGTGTTTAAAATCATAAAACAATATCATAATTATTTAATTCATTAACAATTCCGAAAATTTTTGGGTCCCTTAAGTAAATAAAAAAATTTTATTGACTTAATTAATCTAAGAATCAAATAAGTACTCTATATTTATGTAACTTTTAAATGAGTTTCTACAAATCAATAACTAATAACATAAAAATTTAACATAATTTAATAAAATCTTGATTGAATAACAACATATATTCTAGCTGTCTTTGAGAGATGAAAATTTAGCGAAAAATGTCTTTGGGGGTCTCAATAACATTGTCTTGTTGGCTTGTTGCTTCTGAGTTCTCTATCCGCATGCGAGGATCTATGCTTTATTTTTCAACTTTGTTTCTTGTATATAAGATATTGATCTCCTCTGTTCTTTTTTCAACATATTTGTTGGATTTGTCATTGGTGTGTCCGTGTGTGATTGACCATATCTATTTTTTGTGATACTTTTCAAGACTTTATTTTGTAAAGAAAATTGTTTAAAATCATAAAATATAGGGGGAATTTCAAAGACACCCCTTTTCCAATATCACTTTGTAAAAATACGCCACTTTCTAATTTTAACAAAAAGTCACTATAAAATTTAAAATTTATCAAAAAAATATGTGTAAACTTATATTTATAGACACAAATTATCATTATATTTGTGTAAATTTATATATATATATATATTTTTCACAAATATCGTATAAATACCTTTTAAAGACCTTATAAAAACTTTGTAAACCTTTTAAAAACCTTATAAAAACCTTATAAATACCGTTTATAACTTTTTAAAACCTTATAAATATTTAGATTTGTCTCCCAGTAGTAATGATGATCTTGATGTACCTTATCAACCATATAAAAGTTTATAATTTTTCATATTTGAAAAGGGGTAGTTTTGAAAATTGATAGAAAATAGGGGTATTTTTAAAAAGGGGTAGAATATTTCTCAAAAATTCTCTAAAATATAGCATAATAATTTAATTCATTAACAACTTTATAAAATATAATCCTCAATCTATTAACTCCATATTTATGTTAATTTTAAATAACTTTATACAAATCAATAACTAATAACATCAAAATTTAACAGAGTTGAATAAAATCTTGATTGTGTTGTTATTCACAAACCTTGTGAAAAAAAAAAACAATATATTTTACGTAACATTAAAGACATTAAAACATTTTTTTTGTTCAGGTCGTTAGCTTGGCCCAATATTTTTTTTAACCGACTAAAATCGGAACATGTAAGGGAAACCTAGCTACAAGCATACAACATATATTCTCTTTAGTATGTATATATATATTGCTAGGTTTCTCTAGAATTTAACATATCTCTTTCTTCGTTTGATCGCAAAGCATAATGAGTTCATCATCTCTCATATCGATTAATGATGATCTCATCCTCGAGATATTGTCGAGACTGCCTTCAAAGTCAGTGGCTAGGTTTCGTTGCGTGTCGAAGCTATGGGCATCGATGTTGTGTAGTCTATATTTCAAGGAGTTGTTCTTGACCAGGTCCTCGGCTAAGCCACGTCTCTTATTCGCCATCGTAGAAAACTTTGGTAAAGGAGGCTCAAAAGGTGTGTGGCGCTTCTTCTCGTTGCCTCAGCTTCTGAATCCATACTCAAAGTCTTCGAGTCTTGTTGCAGCCGCCGAGTTTCATTTGAAGTTCCCTATGCTGATTTATCATAATACGAACCGACTGTATTTTCAACATGGCTACAACTCTGGTTTGGTCTATTTTTATGGTGCTCATTACGACAATAGATGTGTGATATGTAACCCTAACACAGGAGGATATACACTCTTACCTTATCTGAAACGTTACCGAAAGACGTATAGTTTTTTCTTGTTTGATCCGATTGACAAGCAATTCAAGGTATTGTTCATGGCTTATTGTGATCTTAATCATAAGATTCTTACGGTAGGAACTGAAGATATGAAGTGGAGAACAATAAAATGTTCCTTGCAACATAAAATCGCGAGTGAAGGGATATGCATTAACGGGGTTTTGTATTACTTAGGTGACACGTCTTCTTGGGATAATGATGATTACAGTATAGTTTGCTTTGATGTTAGGTCTGAAAAATTCACATTTTTCAAGGTGGAAAGGTTTTGTAGATTGGTAAACTATAAGGGCAAATTAGCTGTGGTTTATTTCGAGGATGATGTCGACACTCTTTCTTGTCGTTATAGGGAGAGAGATCATGTCGAAGCTGATGAGATTAATAGGTTGCATGTGTGGGTTCTAGAGGATATGGAGAAACAAGAATGGTTGAAATATGCCTACACTTGGACTGATGATATATTCTTCCGTCGTCGTCAAGTTTCTATCGCGGGAGCTACTGCTTCGGGTGAAATAGTGTTTTCGATGTGCGAATATACACCTAAACAACCGTTTTATGTTTTCTACTTCAATCCCGAAAGGGAGACTCTCCAACGTGTTGAGGTCCAAGGTTTTGGTGAAGACTTTTGTAATGTATACACCTATGTAGACCACGTTGAAGATGTTAATGTTAATGATTTAGAGCTGCTCAAGTTCGTCCATCCTCCATTGGAGGAGCCAAAAGAAGAAGAAGAAGAAGAAGAAGAGTATGATGAGTATGGAGAAGAAGAGTATGATGAGTATGAAGAAGAAGAAGAGTATGGAGAGTATGAAGAGTATGAAGAAGAAGAAGGATATGAAGAAGAAATAGAAGACAATCAGATTGAGAAAGGACAAGGAGAAGAAGATAAAGACGAATGATTGGAGTTAGAGCTTCAAATCTAAGTGTTGAGTAATTGAAATGGATGCTTGGAGATTCAATTAGTTCACATACTTGAAGCTTTGTATAGTCTTTGCTCTTGTTCTTGTTTGAAGCTATGTATTAGCCAGCCTTAAAGAACCTCTTGTTCTTTAGTTCTTCATAGCAATTTGCAACACATAAATTTACTGCTTATATTTTTCTCTTTAACGATCAAGCTTTCTACATTTTGGTGTCAAGAACATGGTTTTTTTTGCTGTTCTTAGTTGTTTGTCTTAAAATTATGCATAATTTCTTGGTAGCTTAGTTTTGTAAGGTTGAAAACATTTGGTTGTCTGCATCAGTGGCTTGTCTTGGAGGTTAAATTTTTGTTCTCTCAAGAACATGGTTTTGGCTGTTCTTTCTTAGCCTTCTGTCTGAATTCGAGGATCTTTGCTTTATGTTTCAACTTTGTTTCATGTATATAAGATCTCACCTCTATTCTTTGTTGGATTTGTCATTTGTGTGTGATTGATCATATCCAAAAAAAAGTACATGATAGAAATGGAATCTAGTATCCAGCTTTGGACACCAAAGTTATTTTAATAACTTTGGGTATCAGATTCTTAATCTTGTGATAAAGGAATGGTCTTTGCCTTGTCTTGTTCCTTGTTAATCTTATCCTCTTCTTTACCGAATCATTCTCTCAACAGTTGCCATGGAATAAAGTCATAAGGTTTCTTTCTTCAACGCCAAGTCTCTTTCTCTTTTTCCACAATGGGAATCATCTTATTTTGTAGTATTTATACTGTGGGATCGAAGAGCTTTCCTCGAATCAGTCTATCAAGAAAAGATTGGTGATCTCATATCAGATATGTCAAACGTCAGCTTTCTTGAGTTGCAGTACAAGCTCTCTAAGAACAAGATGTTGAGGAAGCCTTCAAGGATGTTTTCTAGAGACAGACAATCATCGGGCTTGTCTTCGCCCGGACCAGGAGGCTTTTCTCAGCCTTCTGTGAATGAGATGAGACGTGTTTTCAACAGATTTGACTCGGACAGTGATGGGAAAATCTCTCAGACTGAGTACAAGGTGGTGCTGCGAGCGCTAGGACAAGAGAGGGCGATCGAGGACGTGCCCAAGATCTTTAAAGCGGTTGATCTTGATGGTGATGGGTTTATTGATTTCAGAGAGTTTATTGATGCATACAAGAGAAGTGGAGGGATTAGGTCTTCCGATATACGAAATGCTTTCTGGACTTTTGATTTAAACGGGGACGGGAAGATAAGCGCTGAAGAAGTGATGTCGGTTCTAAGGAAGCTTGGGGAGAGATGTAGCTTAGAGGACTGCAAGAGGATGGTGAGAGCTGTTGATGCAGATGGAGATGGTTTGGTTAATATGGAAGAGTTCATGAGGATGATGTCTTCCAACATAGTCTGAACAGAGACCTCTTTCGATCTCTCTGTTATTGTACTTAAATTTCATTGCTCATTCAATCTAATTTCAAAAACATGAAAACCTTTGTACTTTGAATCGACATAACCCCCAATAAGATATAAAGCATTAACTTATTCAAAAGTTAGTACATAAACGGACTAGAGCAGATGAGAGTTGTAACAACGTAGCAAATACTATTCCATTCCCAGCTACTAGCAAACTTCTGACAAGAGCTTAGAGCGCTATACATGATCCGAAACGAAAGGCATGGAAAACGCGGCTCTACCAGTAATCACCACAGGAGCATTTACCGTCTTTGAAGTGATGGAAACGTTTGTTGTCTCTCACGATCAACTCTCTACCAATGATTTTGGACATGATCTTGATAAAGTTGTGACAGTCACCACAAACACGGAGATTCTTGATGATTGTGAGCGTCTTCCGAGGTGGGGTGCAAATGATACCATAAGCAATCGCTAGCCTCTCACTGTGGTAGAGTAGTGCCTGTTCTTTGGCCTCTTGATCGATATCATGCAGAACAAATCGTGTGTCTGGAACATAAACCACTCCCTTCTTTGCAGCCATCTCCTTGGCTTCATCCTTGTAAAATGTCAGATTTCGGAACTCAAGGATCCTACTCTTACTAGTAACCATATTTGTTTCCTTGAATGATTTGGGTGGAGGGGTAGGAATCTTGTTGGTAACAGCCTTTGAAGGGTCAAGATCAACCATCAATTCCTCTGCGTAATCCTCTAAATCGATATCTCCATGTAGCCGAGCATAGTTCCTCATAGCTTCCCAGAACTCAGCTGTGGGTTCAAAAGGAAGGTCACGGATGTATTGCTCTGCCTCAACAAGATGTCCACATTTTCCAAGAACACCTAAAACACCCAAATAATGTTCTGTCTTTGGAGCAATCCCATGCTCGTTTTTCATCGAATCGAAATGCAGAAACGCTTCTTTTATCCCGCCCACAGTAGCACAAGCCTCGAAAACAGTAAGGAAGGTCTCCTCATTTGGCTTCAACCCTTGTTTAGCCATCTCCTCGAACAAATGCAACGCATCATCTCCCATTCCGTTATCACTATACGCTCGCATCATCAAATGCCAAGAATCCATATCTTTATCAACCATATGATCAAACACTCTCTTAGCATCAGTAACACTCCTACACTCCCCAAACATACTAATCACAATATTGTTCATTTTCGGATCACCTCTAAACTTAGACTGCAGGAAATGATCATGCACCTTCTTAGAATGCTCAAGAGACTTCAAATTCGCACAAGACTCAAACAACAAAACAAAACATTCTCTATCAGGCATAGCTCCCTTATCAAGCAACTCAATCGCATCTTTATATAACCTACGCTCACACAACCTCACCACCTCTTCAACACTAGGAGGAGCTACCTCATTCGTCTGCTGATTCATCTGATTAGGGATCTGATTCGAGCTTCTTGGTGGTTGCTGCTGCTGCGGATTGTAATACTGACTCTGAGGACTTTGTTGAACATTCTGATTCTGATAATTGTTACCAGGACCACCATATTGTGGCCTTTCACCACCGTATTGAGGCCTTTCACCACCGTACTGAGGTCTTTGACCACCGTACTGAGGCCTGTTCCCACCGTATTGAGGTCTGTTACCACCGTATTGAGGATTATTCTGAGGACTCCACTGATTAGGGTTTTGAGGAGCTCTTTGATTAGTGTTCGTCTGGTTCTGATAACCTTGAGAATCGAAGCTTTGAGGAGGTGGATATGGCCGTTGTGGTTGAGACGGTGGTCCAGACGGAGGATTCTGGTAGTAATCGTTCGTGGCGGCGGATGTGCTCAGGTTTTTGATCGGAAACGAGTTTAGGGTACCGGAACAGTGGAATTGAGAGGAGAGTCTGGGAAATGAGGAACGTACTTGGAGAAGAGAACCTAATGTGACGATCTTTTGGGTTCGTGCGCAACGAATCGCCATTAGAGAAGACATTTTTTTGTGAGGTTTTTAGAAATGGTGAAAGATTAAAACCCTGTGGAATTGCAAAACCCTAATTTGGACAAAAAGGAGATTGGGGATGAGAATATTCGTAGGAGGAAGAAAAATATGATAAGATTTAGATATGGGTCGGATAGGTCTGTTAACGCCATTTGTATTTGGGCCGAGTTGGGCTAAGATATTTCAACTTTAGCTTCTTTGAGTTTTTTTTTTCTTTTACATTTTTTTATTAAATAAAAACTTTGCACTTTTGCAGCCAAAGACCAACTATCCGAGATTTGTGTTCCGATCCGGAATTTTGTTCAATTCCGATTTGCAATTTAAAATTGGATATCCGAATCCGGCGTATTTTATGTTTTAATAATAATTTTTATTATTTATATATTATCTTGTAAGAAAAAATAAATACAGATATTTGAAACTTCCGATATTTAATATAACGGATCTAAAACCAGATCTTAAAATAATAGATTCACCTCGGCTTGGACAAAAAAACGGTATCTGAATACTCAACGTGGAACTCAATCCAAAAAAACGGTTCATATAGAGTACGGATATGCCTAAATAATCCTATTGGGTTCTATATTGCTAAACTTATGGATTCGGGTTAGGGATCGGATAATATTAGATATCGGAACCCATAAAATCTAAACAATATAAAAATATCTAAATATGAATAATAGTAAACATTAATAGTTACCCACGATTATAATTATAATTTCGAATATATCAATTAATTTTATACCTAAATACTCAAAATAATCAAACTAACAACATTCATTTGTTACATATGTCAAAATTTAGCTAGAATTATTTAAATTTAACAAGATTTTTATGGTTTTGTCTCGGGTACCTGGTAATTTGGGTAGTAATTCATTCTAAAATTTGTAACCAAAATCCCTACTATAGTAAAAGAGAAGTACATAAGGGATTCGGGTCGGGTTTTTCAAAAAATTCCGGGTTAAATTTTCAATCGGATACTTGCCAAATTTTTTGTTAAATAAATCTATGAACTCCAAGGAACTGAAGATAATACATACACTAGTGATACATATTACATTGTTTTATTAACACATTTTCGTGTAGACAAGTAACAACATATATGTCTATCTATACAGACTTATTTTTTGAGACTTGTACACACAACATTTGAAGATCCCTCATGTATATGTTAGGTTGTAATAATCATCATATCACTCTATTTACATCTTCCGCATCCTATACATCCTCTTCCTTTCTAAACATCTCGCGCTACTACTTCCCCCCCATATGATTCACATTACGCGTACCTTGCTTGGTTTCCGCGATTTTCATAGTCTTGAACGGAAAACGCGTTTCTTAAAACCAAGATTTGAGTTCTTACGGGAGGAGGAAGTGGCATACGGTTGGCCGTTGAGAGAACCCGCAAATCTGATATCCCACCCTTCGATGTTCTTTGGAACACATGAGTCGAATAGGAATTGCCCCAGAACGCTGTGAGCGTTTATACTTGTTGGTTGGAGTGGGCGGAAGGAGGATCTTTCTCTCTGTTCTTCTTGTGAAGTTGATGGATCATTGCTGCTGCTGCTGTTGCTTTGATACGGCGCTGAGCTGGGTAAGAAAAAGTGATCACATGGCCCAGTGGCTACTCTTCTTAGGCTTTGGTTAGATTTCACAGCAACTTTCTGAAGGTCGCATATTATCTCAGAGATCTCATCATGCGTGTGAGCTCTTTCTCCGAGCTGCCGGATTTTCTGTAAGTGAACTGACATGGCCTTTTCTAGAAAGTTGGAGATAACAGCTCGGTATTGTATCGGGTTATGTGTGTAGTGTCCTGAAGAAAGAAAGGAACAAAAAAGACAAAAAGCTCAGATTTTGTAGCAATGACATACAATCAAGATTCAAGATCAAAAGCAATCTCCAAGAAACAGACTAACCATTATCATAGAATGCCTAGCCATTATGAGACCCCATTGGCATACGCCACATATCATAAATATTTTCATAACCATAACATGATATATGTCATGACTAACCTGCATGAGGAGAATTTTTCCACTTGACAACCTTAACGTCTCCTCCCAGTTCCTGCAATTGATGGGTGAAGCTTGAAATTACTTGCTGGGGAGCAAGGTCGTCATTCTCCGAGCACAAAATGAGATATGGAGCCCCGATTTCCTGGAAACGTAAACGGATAAGTTATCTTATGTTAGCTACATATTTGATAAGCCAGAATCAGAGAAAGCATAGAAGCTCAATGGAAACTTACAACAGATGAGTAGAGAGCATGCCAGTACTCACTACGTTGGGATTCAAATCTTGTAAGATATAAACCGTCCAGCCCAGAAGAGATCCCTTTAGCCACCCAAGATACTAGTCTTGAAGGCCCAGACATTCGCCGTATGGTGGGATGTAGTGCAAATTTCACATTCAGATCACTTGTGAAATCCAATGGCCCAGAGTCGTATACATGTCCACAAATACAGTTTCTAACCAGCTGGCTAGCATCCTTCACAAATTGAAAAACCAAGGATGAGTCTAAATTGAACCGAGAGAAACAGCATAACTAGACCCCTTACCCAAAACTAAATGACCTGAGCTTTAATGACTTAAATGAAACAGTATAAGAGACAATTCTCACCGGATGTATTTGAGCTTCACAATCACCCATGATCACCTACATTATTAAAGATTCTTAGATACCATAAGAACAAAACATAAAATCATCACAAGATGACCACAAACTACCTCAAAGTTCAAACCTTTTTTAACGTACCTGTAATACTTTGTACATACAAGCCTTAGGAGCCCCAGAGAAAGCTAGAAAGATAACAGGACATGGTCTAGCCTTTAGCTCCTGAACACAATAGTAGCAACATTTAAAGTAACACACCAAAAGCAAGAAGAGAATAAGCATTTATCCACAAAATATATATGTATATCTTCCAATAAGAACCTTACCTCAACAAGTTCAGAAAGAAGATGAAACGCTAAAGAGAGAGCCATTTCAGGGTAAAACCTGAACACATGTGACAAAATCCAAAAACTACTTTAAAAGATTCTCAAAGTATCAAACATAGAATATTTAAAAAGCTAAGATTCTATACAAACTTGATTGATACGAATCCAACAAAACAATCTCACACCCAATTTTTCTTTTTTCAATTTGGCTAATCAAATCTAATTTAGAAGATTTTAAAGAACAAAAGATTCAAACTTTCTAATAAATGCTACAAAAAAGCCTTCAAATTTGTAATCTTCAACACATCCCCATATCAAAAACAAACACAGTGAATTCAAAAAAGCAATCTCACACCAAATCAAATCTAATTTAGAAGAGGTTCAAGCACAAAAGATTCAAACTTTCTAATAAATGCAACAAAAAGCCTTCAAATTCCCTATCTTCAACACAAACCCACATCAAAAACATCAACTGAAACTTCCCAAATCAGCTAATTCGCCGGAGACTTAACTCAGAGAAGAGAGAGAGAAAACAACTTACGCAGTTAAAAAATCAGCTCGGCAAACAAGAGAGTTCCAACCAAGAGAAGAGTAAAGATCAACGAAATTCGAAAGATGGTTATCGTTAATCGAACTCCAAACAAAGATGACAACAACACCGTTAGATCCACCACCGTCCACCGCCGCAGAACCAGCAGTATCTTCAACAACATCCATCTTCTTCCCCCAGTAAACCCTTCCACCGCCGATCATAGCTTCAGCTCCGGCGAAAAGAGAAGAGATTTTTGGTTTATTATGGATTGTGTGAACCAAAACTCGAAAGATGAGATCTTTGGGATACGGGTCCGTGGTTGTTATCATCACCCACGTCAGATCCTTTCATCCTTGTGTGTTTTTTGGTTTTACCTCTTGGCGTATGTTAGTGTAAATTGGGTTATAATGCGCCTTATTTTGCCACGTCATTGGGTTACAGTAACGGTCAAATACGTAAAGAACAAGACTTTTGTGTTTGATCAGTGCAAAAAGGTTTTCCTTTTTTTATTACATAAAGCTTTTTCTACATGGACGTTAGATATTGAAGAGCAAACTCTTTTTTTTTTATATATATCTTTTTTCTAGATACAATGTTAAATAACGTAAAAACTAATTTGGGTTTTCAATTGTACGATATACATTCTGTTATTTAGATGATATACATGGTCATGAAATTTTGAATATGAAATTTGATTTAGAGAAAATATGGATTTTTGAAGAAGTTTATTTTGCAACTATCATTAGATTTTAAAATATATTGACAAAAAAACATGTTGTTTCAGGTTTGGACGGCAACATCGTAGCATTGTTCCAAACTAACATACAATCTTCCGTTATAGGGTTACCACGGAAGTAACTTTCAAATGCCAATCAAACAAGACTTGTTTGTTTGTTCCATTTAAACGAAAAGTGCAAAAAAGTTTATCTTTTTAATAACATAAAGCTTTTCTACATGGACGTTAGATTTTGAAGAGCAAACACTTTATATATATATATATATATATCTATCTATTTTCTAAATACAATGTAAAATAACGTAAAAATAATTTGGTTTTTTAATTGTAGGATATACATTCCATTATTTTCATATAAAATAAACCAAGATTTAGATGATAGACATGGTCATGAAATTTTAAATATGATATTGAATATGAAATTTGAATATGTAGTCCATTATTTCTTCTCATTTAGAGAAAATATGGGTTTTGAAGAAGTTTATTTTGCAACTATCATTCAGATTTTAAAATATATTGACAAAAAAAAATGTTGTTTCAGGTTTCGACGACAACACAACATAAAACATATATTGTGGTAGTATCATTGTTCCAAGCTAACACACGATCTCCCGTCATGGCCGTTACCGTGCAAGTAACTGTCAAATGCCAATCAAACAAGACTTGTTTGTTCCATCTAAACGAGAAGTGTCAAAAGGTTTATTTTTTTAATAACATAAAGCTAGTCTAGATGTACGTTAGATTTAAAAGAGCAAACTCTTTCTTAAAATAAAAAGTTAAATCATATTTAACAAAAAAATGGTATTTTGCTGTGACAGTATATATTCTGTTATTTTCATATAAAATAGACCAAGATTTAGATAATATACATGGTCATGAAATTTTGACTATGTTTTTATTTAATATTTGAATATGTAGTCCACTATTTCTTGTTAGTCATAGGAAAAATAGTTTTGAAGAAATTGTTTTGAAATTGTCGTCCAAATTTAACAAACATATTGAAAAGAAAAAAAAATGTTGCTTTAGGTCTCGACCGGCAACAAAACATAAAACATTTGTTGCGGTAAAATTATTGTTCCAACTAACATAAAATCTCTATTTTGTAGGAGGTTGCTCACAGCAAAGATGATATGATGTGAGCAATTATATACTCCAATTCCACCTCTAACACATATGTAGATGTCTTTTTATGTTCTATATGTAAATAACCTTTTTATGTCGCATCTCTAACAAGATAATAGTTATATTCAATAAATTTTGTTTTTCAGGAAAAACGTAATTTACATGATATGTTAAATGCAAGACTATCACAATAAATTTATTTGGCATATATATGGTTAAAAATCTGGTATAAAAAGACAACCGCAATAATTTTTGTAATCATTATATTCTGCTTATGTTAAATTGCTAAACTATCACAATAAACCTATATGGTATATATGATGATATTCTGGTATATAGATTCTACCACAACAAGTTTCTGTACAAATTCTGTTTTTTATCCTTCAAACATAAAAATTGGATCAGTTTTATGGTTCTATTTGTATATGCTTGTTGATTGACCTCAATTTTTTTAATATAACATTCATACAAAGAAGATTATCTATAATTCCCAAAATATTTATAAGATATTAGAGTCCCAGTCAACTTAAATTTTAATAAATAAAAAAAGAGTCAACTTAATTTTTTTTAATTATATACATAATGGTAAAGACCCGCTCACATAATTTATACAATTCAATTTGCTTAGGAGATAAGATAAATAAGTGAATTACTCAAACAACTCCAAAAATAAATGTAAACTATTGTTACTTTTTCAAAATTATTCTTATCCTCATAATCTCATATTATTACTTTCTTGAATCTTTATTGAGTCGAATCACTTAAATAAACTTCTTAACTACCAAGCCAGCTCCAAAAAGCTTAGAGCGATTATCTTTAATATTTCTTGCCTTAATGCAGAAATGGCTTCAGCATCCTTTCATTATGTTCGTTGTTAGAACCATGCCACAATAGACTCACTAGCTAAAGTTGTTCTGTTTTCAGCTATCTCTTTCTCCCTTTCGAGATTGTAACCAAACTTTTTTATTTAATTCCAACTAGTTTGCCAAAAAAAAAAAAAAAAATTGCATATGTGCGTAAGGCAACATGATGATAAGGCTTGGCATAGAGGGGGTGCGAGCGGTGCTTTTGCACTGGACCTTTTTAGTTTTGGAAAATTTTTAAAGGTTTTAGGGCCCTCAGTTTTTGATATATTTACAAATAAAGGTCTCAAGTTTCTCAAATCTGCAAATAAGAACCTAACTAATAAAATAATTTTTTTTTTTGACACAAAGTCTAAAAAAAACTTGAGCCGGGCCTGATGATGATCATGATTATTAATGTTTGTGAATATGTGACCATGAATACTTGACTCGATGAATTATTTATGTGTCTAGATCGACACATCAGAGGATTCACTAAAGTATAAACTTTTCGATCATTTACATTATATTCTATATGCTCTTGACATGACAATCTCTAGTCATTCATTGAGACTTCAACTTATGCATTGGAAGTATTGTATAAATTTACTGACATGAACATATATGCTAAATGCCAAACCAAGTTCCATGCATGCTTCTTCCATATACACAGTCGTTCACAACACTCTTGGGAACCAGGCCCGGCCCAAAACAAATAAGGGCTCTAGGGCAAAAAAATTTTTAGGACCTTTTAAATATGAATTTTTTTTTCCTACTAACATAAAATCCTAAAAATTGGGTCTCTTATTCTAGGTTTTCTAAACAAATGGGTTATTCTCTATTTTTTTTAACTAAAAAGGGCTCTGTACATTAGGGAAAAAACAAATTTAGGACCCTTTATTGGGCCTTTTTTCCTTAAATTTTTTTTTTTTGCTCACGGGCCCTTGGGCTGTCGCCCTTGCCCTACCCATCTGAGCCGGGCGTGTTGGGAACGTATCTTATTTGATTGAACAAAATATCATGATACTGTTGGCATCTTCAATGTTTGGTTATTGTCTCTTTACTCGGCATCATTGCCTCTCACACTTCATAATTTATTCAGTTGCAAACTGATCATGAGACTGAAATGATTTTATATCCAACTAACCAAAAATTTATTGTCTTAGAAATCAACCAAACCTCATATTGGTTTTCCTGTAAATTGCTACATGTTTGTTTTATAATTGCAAGTAACTGCAACTGCGCTTTTAAATCGCAAAATATTGTTTGTTTCGTAATCGTGCGATTGATTTCTATGACTAATCACTAGGGCCGACTCGGAGTGAAAGCCTATCAAACAGATGTTTTAAGCATCACAAATATATTTAAAATTTAAATGCATCAAATTTTAAAATCATGTTAGTACATAAGTCGAATACTACGTTATAAGGTTCAACATACACGATTCGATACTCGGATACTTAGTTTAGTCGCAAGATCATGCGTCTGTCAAACAAACAATCAATCCTAGTCGCAATCACATATCTCATGCGATTGTCAAACGAACAACATCTATATCTCATGATCCTTCATCATAATCAAATTACTAACATCTCCTTTGGAAAACTCCAACTATCAACTATAATAACATTTGAGTCATACTTACCTTTTGTGGCAAAGAGCAATTTGGTGTTTCACCTTTCGTACCGCACATCACCTTTTAGTTACCATTTCGCTATTTAGGCACATCTCAAAGTGAAAAATCTCAAAATCTCTCACACATTAGTAAAAATCTTGCAGACGCCACAGAGCGCACTACCTAGCTAGCCACCACATATTTGCTTCCATAAATGTTAAACTAGGGTTTGTTATGGGGTTCCAACTCAAAACCAATTGGCAATGAGTGGATTGTCCCTAACCCTTTATATATTACTTAAGTTCTCTCACATCTTCCGATGTGGGATCTTTTCTCCACACGCCCCCTCGAGATAATGGCTCTTTTAGCCATTAATCTCGACAGAATCCATCACGCCCCCTCGAGATAATGCTCTTCTAGCTATCTCGATGGAATTGGGCCTTCTTTTGGGCCATCAATTAATGGGGTGATCGGGCCTCTATCCGGGCCGGATTAATTAATGGGTCAGCGTGTGTTCGGGCTCTGATACCATGTTAAACTAGGGTTTGTTATGGGCTTCCAACTCAAAACCAATTGGCAATGAGTGGATTGGCCCTAACCCTTTATATATTACTTAAGTTCTCTCACATCTTCCGATGTGGGATCTTTTCTCCACATTTTCTTATGCCATTCATATTCTCTCTCAGTTCATGCAACAACCAAGAGAAGAACATTGGTCTGCTGCAATAAAGGTTGCTAAATATTTGAAGGGTACGCTTGGTCAAGGAATTCTTTTAAGAGCAGACTCCCCGTTACACTTAACGGGTTGGTGTGATGCTGCTCATGGAAGTTGTCGTTTGTCTCGAAAGTCTTTAACAGGCTGGATTGTTCAGTTTGGTGATTCACCGATATCGTGGAAAAGTAAGAAACAGAAAACAGTTTCCATATCTTCTGCAGAGGCTGAATATCGCGCAGTGGGAGCTGTCACGAAAGAACTCTTGTGGCTTAAATCGATATTGCTTGAGCTTGGTATTGATCATTCAGAACCTATGTCTCTTTGGTGTGACAGTCAAGCTGCGTTACACATCAGTAATAATCCTGTTTTCCACGAACGAACGAAGTACATTGAAGTTGAGTGTCATTTTATACGTGATCATATTGTCGCTGGCACTATCAAACCAAATTACGTCCCCACTACAGATCAACTTGCAGATATTCTTACTAAAGCTTTAGGGAAAAAGGAGTTTGATTCATTCTTGTTCAAGTTGGGCATTCAAGATTTGTATGCTCCAACTTGAGAGGGGGTATTAAGGATAGACTTCCTCCTCAAGTAAATAGGAAATTGTATATATCGTTTAGTTAGATTTCCTTTTACTAGACAATTCGTTTTGTATATATATAGACCTTTTGGTCATGCAAAACTGAATACAATATACTTTCATAATCTCTTTGACAATAAATTTTGTCGGTCAAAGTAAACATAATCTACTCTAGAGTTGTTTATATTCGTATATATCCCAAATCTTTAGATTATGATCTTCTAAAAATCTTCACATGTATGATTTCTAAACCAACATTAACTATGTTCTTTGGTTTGGTCTCTTCTCTACTTCAATCAACTTCCCAATGTGTCGGTTGTCTGATTTCATTTCACGATTAACAAGACTCAATAACATGTGAAAACCCAAAAAAACAAGACTCGACAAAATGTGTAGATTAAGTCAAAACTTGAAACCCAAAAATCCGAAAAATCCAATAACTAACGAAAAAAAAAGAAGCACAAGTCAAACCTAAAAATATGGAATGGGTCACACGTTATTAAACAATAAACAATACTAATACAATACTCTCTTTATTATCTACCTGATGCTTCTTTAATTAAAATTAAACACAAATTTTATCATGTCGGAATAATCCAAAACGACACCGTTTTGTAACTCAAGAAGACGAGCTTCGTCTCGAGCTTTGCGCTTCAATTCCCAATTCTTTTTATTTTTGCTTTTTCTTATTTCTCCTGTGTAAGTGCAAACATCTAAATTCCCAAGAAACAAAAAGAAGTTTAATTAGAGATCCGTAAATTCAAAGCAACATCAACGTTCTTAAGCATCTCCTTAATCATTTGTTTTTTATAAAAATTTATTTTTATTTTCCTGGAAAATTTTTCTTTATTGATCAGAGAAAAAAGCTACTTTGTGTTTTCGATTCATTCATTATTGTGTTTTTTTTTAGCTGGAAGGTGTCTGAATAATTCAATGCTCTCTTCTTCTCCTCCTCTCTAAATCTCTCTCTCTCCTCCTCTCTCTCTCTATCTTTGTCTCTCTATCTCGTTTCTGAAGCTGCCATGGGCGATGAACACTCTCTCATCCCAAAGGTACCATTTTGTTTTCTGGGTCTTGAAGCTTTTCCTCTGTTTATGCTTAATCTGATTAGGGTTTCTTGTTCTCTGTATTCTAATTGACCAAAGCTATGATTTTTATGAGTTTTGGTTTGATTTCTTCTGTAAAAATTGAAACTTTCTGTATCTGAGGTCTTGCGTGAATTTGGTTTTCTTCTTTTAAGGCAAAATTAATGATGCCCATGTTGTTTATTTGAGCTTGAATTAAGTTTTTTTGTTTCTAAAATAAGCAAAAACAAGTCACTTAACATCATGAGGACTTAAATGTATTGTTTTTTGCAGGATAGTTTTGTCTTCAAGCTTCCTAAAAAGTCCCCACTTGTGTTAAGGATGGTTGTGCTCTTGTTTGTGATGGTATGTGCTGTTTACATTTGCTCCATTTGTTTGAAGCAAATTGGTGTTGTACCTAGTGCTGGGTTCTTGAATGTTGAAGTGTTTGAGAGGCAGTGTCCTGAGCCTAATATTGAACCTTGGGATATACCTTATGTTCATTATCCTAAACCTAAGACTTATAGCAGGTAAAATGAGAGTGTTTGTTTCGTTTTTGATTTGGTTCTTGAGTTTGTAATGCTTGTGTTGTTGATTTGAGTGTTTTGTGGGTTGGGAACTTTGTCTAGGGAGGAATGTTCGTGCAATCCCGTTAGGTATTTCGCGATTCTATCGATGCAGAGATCTGGTAGCGGCTGGTTTGAGACTTTACTTAACAATCATACTAACATAAGCTCGAATGGAGAGATCTTTTCGGTTAAAGATAGGAGGGCTAATGTGTCGACCATTTTCGAGACCTTGGATAAAGTATATAATTTAGATTGGTTGAGTAGTGCTTCTAAGAATGAGTGCACCTCTGCTGTTGGTTTGAAGTGGATGCTTAACCAGGTAAGGTTCTATCTCTTTGTACCGAATGGTTACTTACTGTTTAAAATAGCTTAGATGCTGGACTATCAATTTGTGATTTATATTAGAACAGATCCTACAATATGATATGTTCTCTAATTAGTTACTTGGTTAGTGTTCAGGCTATGTAATTATAGTATAGGACTATAGGTTTTAGATTAGAGCTGCAATCTTTTGCATTACATCCACAATATAGACTGTTCTGCTTCATGGAAGAACTGTTTTGTGATTGTAACCGCTGATAAAATGTTTTGACTGTTCTGTCATAAAGAATGATATGGTTCTGGTTTTCATTGATTTATGTTTGTACTTATCTGCCTTATAATATAGACATGTGTTTTATTTTATTTGATGGTTCTGATCTTTGTGAAAGAAATCGAGTTCCAATAGCCTTAATTTGTTTGCTTACCTTGTTATTACTGATATTTTGGTTTGTTGGTGGATTCTTTATATTTCTAGCTCACATGAGTCTTCATATTTCATTTTGTGTTTTATCTTGTCTATGTTATAATGTGATTGGTTGTTGGGGATGAAACATATGCAGGGTCTAATGAAACACCATGAAGAGATAGTAGAATACTTTAAAACCCGAGGCGTATCTGCTATTTTCCTCTTTAGAAGAAACCTCTTACGCCGGATGATTTCAGTTCTTGCAAACTCTTACGATAGAGATGCTAAGCTATTAAATGGTACACACAAGTCCCACGTCCACTCCCCTAAAGAGGTTCCCCTCTGTCTCTTCATTTTTTTCATGTGTCTGCAGATTTGGCTCTGTGAAACTAAACGTTTGAACAAATGGGTTTCAGGCTGAGATATTGGCGCGGTACAAGCCATTAATCAACACAAGTCTTTTGATACCTGATCTGAAGCAGGTTAAAGAGATGACTTCAAAAGCACTTGCTTACTTTAATACCACTCGCCATATCTTCCTTTACTATGAAGATGTTGTCAAGAACCGCACTGTGAGAACATTTTGTATCTTTCAAGGTTCCTAACTAGTTTCACCGCTCTTATTGTTCTTATTTAAACCGAGTCTTTTTCCCCTTTTGCAGAAACTAGATGATGTCCAAGAGTTTCTAAAGGTCCCAAAACTCAATTTAAAGAGTAGGCAAGTAAAGATTCATCATGGTCCGTTGTCGCAGCATGTACAAAACTGGGAAGAGGTTCAAACAACACTGAAAGGGACCGATTTTGAAAACTATCTACTAGAAGATTACCGCAGGTGAATTAACTCTAGGAGAGAGTGATGTACATAAACCTCTCTCAGCAGAAAGGTCAGACCAACTTGGTAGGAAAGTTTTGGTAGTGCCACGAACAGGTTTTGCAAGTCTTTTATCTTGTTTAGTTTATCTCTGTTTCTTCCAAGGGTTTAATCAAGTTAGCTTTTAATTCGATTCATTCTTTATCAGGTTACTAAGAGTTCTCTTGTAATCGGAAACAATGATCTGGTTCATCCTCTTATTTGCTTCTAATGATTAGTACAAAGAACAAAGATCTGCCACTTTGATTGTTGGATTATGGAGTTGTTTATCACATTGGTTGATATGTATTGAGTTCAGTTGATTTTGTAGTCGTTAACTAAGATGGTTTCTCAACTCTAACTATGTGCAAATTGAATCGATGGACACACAAAAGGGACTCTATCTGACCTTTGAGAATTCGATTTGGTTCTTTGGTTTAGAAATCATAATATATATATAATGAGATACTACAATGAGAACACACATGAAATTTCTGAATAGATATTAGAAAATAAATACTAAAGCAATAAAATCCTAAACAAGCTCTTCTTTTATGCTGAAAATATGTTTTAAAGCTTCATTTGCTGACTCCATTCTCTTGTTTGGTCTTCTAAGATTTACCATGGCTTTCTTGAGTTAATTTACAATATTTTCTTTTGTTCTTTGCGCGAAGTCTCTGTTCTCTCTCTTCTTTCGTCTCAGTTTTGTAGTGAGATGACATATGTGCAGCAAATTTTTGAGAAGTATCAAACACGCCATTGCACTTGGGACATGTATATGGACCATATTTTTCATATGGTAGACTATGGGTACGACCATCATATGGATCATCATCATTGTTATCTTTTTCTTCAGTTTCATTGTGCTTGATAGTTTTTTCATAAAGATTGGAAGGTTTCCAGATTTTCTTCAAAAAACGACCATCTTGGAGAATATGTTGGTCATGGTTGTGCGTTGATGACATGAAAGACCTCTCTAAATGATGTGCAGAATCTTGCCGCGGAAAAATGAAATCAAAAGGTTCAGGATTCAAAATCCCGCGATGTTTATCAAAAATATGTGGAGGAGGAAATATAGGATTCCAAATATCAGTTTTAGAATGCATAGCACGTTGATCACGTTCAATACCATATTGTATGGTGTCAAGTGCACTAGTAGGTATAATAGCAGTATACCTATTTGTAGTGGTTTGAGTGAAAGAAATTTGAGTAAGCTGAGAATGATTTTTGACAGAAAAATAATTGTCACTCATCATATGATTTTTCACATGTGAATTGTGAAATCCAAAAGATGATGAAGAGACATGTGAATTTTGTAATTCAAAGGAAGATGAAGAGACATGTGAATTTTGAAAAGAAGTAAAAGGAGATGGAGAATACAAATCTCCATGGTTCGTGTGATCAGAAGTAGTGAACATCGATCGAACCATTCTAGAATTTGGATTCATTTGGTTGGGGAATGAACAATGATTGTTAGTATTATCACCATGAAAATTGAAATTATTTGGAAAAGACATTTTGAAAGATTGATAGATATATTGAAAATAATTTTGTATGCCTATCCTTTATATACGAAAACAAAGATATTAACTTCCAAAACGAAAATTAATCTTTTGTTAAGATTTAAGAAAGGAAAAAAAGGGAAAAAATCTACTTTATGTTATTTGTTTTGAGATTAAATTAAATATTTAGAGAGAAAAATATCTCCAATTATTTATTATTTCCCTGAAAACATCTTTATTTATTTGGTAACATATGGATGCAAATATCAATATATATAATTATATATTGATTTCTTATCATATACCTGGATTCGGTTGATGAAAATATGGATAGTATTCCACTTTTATATTTATGTTATTAGCTAAAGTAATTTACTTTAGGGAATATATATTAATAGCATATTTGTTGACGTTGATGTCAATTTGTGTCATCTATCTATTAATTTTTTTTTGATATGGTTATATAATGTTGCTTTATCATTAATTTCAATAAGTTGATTCACTAATTATAATCAAACAAATATATATAATTTAAATGATGCAGCGATTTGCAATGATACTTTTACCTTGTAATTTTCTCTTCGCAAATCTCATAAAATAAAATGGTTAAAGTTGTTTACAAAAAAAAAGGATGGCTGATATTCATTTATTACATACAGCTAGATTAAGACTTACGCGGTTTATAATTAAAAAAATATATACCATGTAAAAGAAATTTAAAAATAATAAAATGAAATAATGTGCTAAAAATAACTGTCTATTATTAATTAAATTTCCAGTTATTATTTTAAAATATTTTCAAAGTGTTTAGGTTTTCAGTGTTAAACTTGATAAAAAAAAAAGCTATATAAACATATAGAATGGCCCAACATATTAGTATAGATTATTCTAGATTAGGATATTTTTGATACACGAGTAAATGAAGACATGAGCAAATGAAGACATGTTTCTACAATAAATTAAGTACACATTATTGTAATCGTTTGTAAATAGTATGCTCAAATTTAATCAAACCGACCATGAATAGTTGTAGTTGAAAATCTCTATAGAATGCTTGTAATAACTCACTTATAATATATATATGTATATATAATTAGTATAGGGGTTTAATGCATATGAATTAGTTATAGGTTTGGGCGAATATTCATATCCAAAAATCCAAACCGAAAAACTTGAATCCAAACCTGAGAAAATAACCGAACGGATTTTATATTATATATCCTATAAAACTAAATCAGAAACCCAAACTAACAACTGAGTGGATACTTGTAACCCAAAATATAAGATACCCAAAATAGTAATAAGTTTTAGACTTGATATAACAAATTATCCATAATAACTATTATAAATTCAAAAATATCAATTATTTTAAGATCAAAATAACTAAAATACTCAACATATATTAAATATATTAAAACTATTATATTTGTAAAAAATTAACCATTTTTTAACTTTTACCAATTTTTTTTTTTTTCGATATGTCGGATATCCGAAACCAAACGAAATCTGAATAAAACCGAAACAAAATTTTAAAATACGCAAATAGATATCAGAATTCAGATCCAAAGTCCAAAATATCAAATCCGAATCCGATTCAAAATCTGAATGTTCAGTCCGAGTTATTAATATAGAAGGTTTTATAATCCCAAATTAAGATCGTGTGTTGGTTTTTTTTTCTCTAAAACTTAAGTATTAATAGATTGAAAATATTTTGAAATATAATTGAGTGAAAAAAATAATTATAATTAATGTCACATATGATTTTTTAACATGAACCATCTATGAAACTTAGTTGGGAACTACGAGTTTGTTGTTTGTTAAAATAATTACTAACCTGTTGAAAATGGGTTGGTGATTCTTTTATGTATAGCGTTCAGAATGATAGAAATAAAAGAGAGACTCGTACTATTATACTTAAATACATAATGAATTATAATATATAATATATATATATATATATATATATATATAAATCCTCATCTCAATATATATTTATTTACTTTAATATTTGACACCGTCATCTCAATTTAAATACTTTGAGAACTTATTATGTAGATATACGATTTACTCTTTTATGTGTTTTCATTGTAAAAAAAAGATATTACAAAACTAAAAATATGAAACGCATTTTAAAATTTGATCAATTAATTAAACATATCACAAATAATTAAATTTTAATTAATAATCAAATGCTACGCGTCAAAATTTAAGATCTAATCTGGCATCTATATTGTTATGAACTTATTATGTAGATATACGATTTACTTTTTTAAAATATGTTTTCATTGTAAAGTAAAGATATTACAAAACTAAAAATATGAAACGCCTGTTAAAAAAAATTCAGTTGATTAAACGTATCACAATTAATTTAATTTTGATCAGTTAATAAAATGCGACACGTCAAAATTTAACATTTAAAACTAAATCCAATATCTTAATCACTTAACTCTACCGCTTAAAAATTGTACCATAAATCTAAATTAGTCAATTCACATTCAAAAAATTAAATTTTACACCCTGAAAAATAAACTATCGAGTTTTTGAAAAAAAAACCTTTTGGTGGTATTTTTAGGAAAATTAAACTTTTGTGGTAGTTTTAGATTAATAAACGTATAGTGTTATGCGAAAATAACTTAAAATTTGGTATTTTGAGAAATCACTGTTTTTACTCTTACTATTTATTGTTGAAAAATAATAAAGGTTTCAAACTCTTTTTTTCTTTTTTAATTTGGTAATTATGTCAACATAGAGTTGCATTTAAAATACGTATATGACTCGTATATCTTATTGGTAAACTATGAAAAACAATTAATTTATGAAGTTTGATTGTATTATGAATTACAAGTTTATAGTATTTTTTATAGTATTTTTTTTGTAAACATTTTTAATATTTTCTTAGCAATAATTTTTAACACGAAATAGTTTGGTGCATCAATATTTAATTTCGTAAACACCAATATAACAATTAAGAATGGTCATAGAACCTGTCTAATCAAAGATGCAGTATCAAACAATTTAATAAATGGTCACCCACTCTCTGATCCCATTTCAATTTTGTCTGTCGCCGTTCAATTAAATTACTGATTTAGATCTCATTTAAAATAAAAAAAACTATGAATTAACTAATTTACAAAATATATTATTATACCTTCTTAATAATTTCGTATATTTGTAAAAACTATATTTAAAAGTAACAAGAACAAAATATACAATAAGAAAAATAACTCCAGGCATTGCCCCATCATTGCAATAGAGTTGTGTAAAGATTTTTTAAAAAGGAGTATTAAAGTTATACTAACTCATATTAGGTTGTAATCAGTTACTTAATCAAATGTTAAACTAGATAAACAATTATTAATATTATGTAATTTGTGGTCCAAACACTTTATTATGTTAAGAGCATCATTACCATGATTATTGCACAACCTCATGATTAAGAAGCATTGCATTTTCTTCTTTTGCTATTCTCTCTTTCGGCTAAGCCTCATCGTTCCTTTGTTCTCCAACACTTATTGATTCACTACAACTTGTACTAAAATCCATTTTCTTACAAGGATTACGAATTGTCCTATGACAAGTACTACGAACTAGCTAGATGTAAGAAATGTAACATCACGACAGCTGTCTTCTATAATTACATAAACTTCTGTACATTATTCTCTCATTGTCATTGTAATGACTCTAAAGAATAGTCCAAGTCAAGAACATATTAATGTGTGGTTCATTTGAAGTGAAAAATTTCTAAAAAACTTAGATCTATCTTAACAAATAATGGTTTAAAAAAATAACGATTTTCGATTCTAAAATAAATCTGTGCTTCCTATATAATATTTTGGATGTAATTAAGCTTTCTATACACTTTTTTATCAGACATATTCATCTCCAACCAAATCCCACTTTTTTGAGACCACACATTATATATTTGCCCCGCACAGCCGTGGTCCGGGAGAATTGGGGAAAAGTTGGAAAGAACTAACCCAGGTTCGATCCACCCTAAAAACAAAAATCATGGTTGTGTGGGAAGTCTGTCAATTGGAGCAAGGTCCAGTTGGTTTACCTGGTAGTCAGAAATGCAGGCGGCCTGACTACCCCTAGCATTAGTCGGAAAGCATTATAAACTCGGGATAGATAGTGTGGTGGTCCTTCGGGAGAAATCCACTCTGAAACACTTTGATGTGTTTCTACCGGGGCTGACTGGATCAACCGATAGGGTTTATAAAAAAGACATTATATATCTCGAATTATTATACTCATATAATATACGAGGAAATGTAGATTTACCACACAAAAAAGTTGTAATTATTGAATATGGTTATTTAGTATTGATCCTTCACTTTCATATGATAGTTTCTCATTATCAAATTGTTTTCAAAACTCTTTTCAATGAACACTTAAACTATGGTGCTCGTGAGAAGAATGAGCACTCTCACTACTTAGCCGAGTTATGGTGGTGGGGCAAATTCGTTTAGCTCTCAATTAGTATCCTTGGACAAATGAACCAATTGGCCAAAAACGAATCGAATGTCAAATTGTTACATTTTTTACTTTCTTTCTTTTATTCATATAATATGTATCAAACGTCACGAATCATATATTTTTCTCCATCAGTTTCGATGGAACCTCACCACCAAATTAAAAGCCATCAAAAATGCGAATTTAAGAACGTATAGAAAAGTACAAGAGAAATCAAGAAGAAGCACGTGACAATGACCCAACTCTTGCAATTTCATGGACCGTAGGGTTAAACCCTAAGCAGCCTAACCAACCTTGCTTGTACGGCAAGTATGTCTTCCTCTTCAATTCTTCCGACACTGCTCTGTTCTCAGTGTAATGCATCTCGTGAGCCGAAACCACCGCTCCGTTCCTCCTCCTCGACATAGACACCGACGAATCGCAGCTATCTCGAGACCGGATACTCGAGTTTCTCACATCCTCTGCATCTCTCTTTGTTAGTATATCGTATCTTTTCAAAGACTCTTTGGTCGGAACAGGTCTTCCGTCAGATGCACTCCTGAACAGTAACAGATCTTTGAGTTTCCACTTCTTGTATGCACGACCAGGGTACAGAATTGCTGACAAGAAAACAGAGGATTTTTGGTTGTTGCTTGTGTTGGAAGCAACCATTTTTGTTGACTGTACTTCTTCTTCCTCATCGACCATTATGTCTGAAACTCTCAATGGAGACATAGAACGGCTTCCTTTACGATCATATCGCGAAGAAGAAGATCCTAAAGACCGGTCTCTCCCTCGATCTTTCTGATCATCGGAATCTTGAATCTCAAGATCCCTAGATCTAGTAGGAGAAGAAACAGGAGGAGTGAATGGTTGCCTTAAAGGTCGAATCTTTCCTCCATCAAAGAGCTCATCCGCAGCAGAGAAATAAGTTTTCTCCAACTGACCACTGAAATTAAACTCGAAATCGTCTTCGAAACCGCTTGCTGATCTCTTCTTGGGAGTTCTTGATTGGTCATCCCAGTCATATGCTATGTTGGAGGAAGTAGAAGGAGAAGGGCTTGTAGGTGCACTAAAGAAGAAAACATTGTTGTTACCAAATCTAGTTGGGCTTGAAGGAGCTGTTATGTAAGGAGACGAAGTTGTGCTGTCGAAATTGAGTTCAGCTGCTGTTACTGCCACTTCTATCTCCATTAATGGTATCTTCTTCTTTGGATGCTCTTGTTCTTTGCCTTTTCTTGATTCTTGGAAGGTGTGTTCCCCTTTCAGACGTAAAGCTTGACTTTAGTTTTGAGAGAAAGAGAGAGAGAGAGATGAAGAAACATGAATGGGTGATTGAATTAGGAGATGCCTTTATAAGTCTCACCTACCTAATGGGTCGTGCCTTAATTATTATTATGATTTTTTTAGGTCTCAATTCTATATGTTCTTTTGGACCAAATTAGCTGAGTTTTTATTTATTTTTAGGTATTCATCGTTGTCTTTCCAAATTTTTAGTATTTATATAACAAAGAGGATTATACAATTATTGGTGACTATTACATCTTTCCAGATTGAAATTTTATTAACAACACGTTGGGTTATCCAGGTTGTATATATTAGAAGCTAGCTACATACGTTTTGTATTTTGTGAATAACATTAATTTCTGTTTCTAATATATTTATCGCAATATCTATTCAACAATTATAACATATCAGCTCAAATAAGCTTAATTAAGAGAAGATGGTGTTTCTCACCAAAAAAAAAAGAAAGAGAAGATGGTGTTTACATTTGGTCCGTCAGGTGCGTGGCTCTCTAGGTATTGTCAAGTATGTAAACAATTGTTCCATAAAACAATATTTAATGAGTTAATTGTAGTAATTGCTGACAAAAAAAAAATGGTCTTTACATATGTGTATATTGTTAATGTTGTACAAACTAATCGTGCCAATTTATCCATTTTAACATTGGTCGAGTGCCCGAGCCACTAAGAATAAAGAACAACAATCGAACTCTTCTTTGTCCTATTGAATTTTCTCCATAAACGATGAAAAAGCTGGCCACAAGATTCGAAAACACTAATTTTTTTATCTAAATTTTTTTTAGCTAGAAATTATTGTTTTTCTATAATAAAATCGCCACATTAATATATATTCTGAAATCTGTTTCGACTTTCGATTAACTATGTCTATTTTTGTATTTGGTTTTGCTTCAAATTGTATTGTAAACGAAGTTTTTGACTTTTTAATGTTTGTCTCGGTTGCGTTTTTGTAAAAATAATTCTGACTAATTTACGAAATTTTAAAAAATATATATCTATTTCCTGTTAAACAAACTCTGTTTACCAAAATTTTAGTTTTGTCAAGAAGATATAAAAATAATATTAATTCATATACATAAATATGTGAAGTTTATACATTAAAAAGGAAAAAAATAAACTTAACTTGTTATTCGTCAAACTCATGTGGGAAAAAGGTTTCAGTTTCTCATGCAGCAAAGAGTTTAATTGTGGTCCAATTATTTTATGATTATTGACTATTGTTGCAGATTTTTTTTTGTACTGTAATGAAAAAAAAATTAATTTAATTGATTTATATCATGCATGTTCAATAGAGATGGGCTTCTCGAATCGAATTATTGTTATTTTTCCTACGTGATTAACGAACGTAATTGTCAAACTAATGGTGGCTATATAGTATATATATACCTCCAAAAATCCAATTTTTAATATTTATTTTTTTGAAGATAACATAACACACTCCATATTTACATTATAATAGCTTAACGTACTCTGTTTTGTTTCTTGTGCTATAATGCGACCAAATAATAATTTTTTATTTCCGTTTAATAAGACATTCATATTTGTCAATGTGCTCGTGTCTATTTTTTTTTTTATATATAAATTATAAACAGCTTTTGAGCCGGCAAAGACTAGTTTTATGTTGGCTTCTTTACCGAAGTTTGTGTTTACTTAGATCCTAACTAAATCTATCGGCATTGAACTTTTTCATATTTCCAAGAATTTATATCGATTAGCTTAAACTAGTTAATTGAAAAGTATAATGCAATATGATATGAATATATCGTGTTAAATTACCAGCTTTGATATAATGCAGTATTGAATTTTTTATACATAAGAAAAAAAAATTACATAAATTATAACACGAATCGAACATATGATTTTCAAAATATCTATGTTTTCGGTAATTTAAAAATCTATATCATTAGAGTAATTAACTCAATGTTAATTCTTTATATATTTATTTTTAAATGCTAAATTTTATAACTTTTAAATTATTCTTACTTACAATAAATATTACAGCTATTTTTTTTTTAATTTCTAAATTTATTATTACTTAAAACATTATATTTTTTATAGTCTTTCAAATAAGGTATTTAATCTAAAATTTTATTTGAATATAAATGATAAAAGTTTTTCTAGTCGGTCGAGATAAATGAGTTTGGACCTATCAATCAAAGTGATTATGTGAAACATGAGCATAATCACTCTGACTTTGGTATTTACCTAACACACTTTACCTAAATATACAGTGATTAATTCATGACTGCTTGCTATTTGCCAAGTTTGGACTCTTAGCTACATAATTTTCACCAAAAAGAACATACATTTGCATATAATCCAAGCATTGTTCTCGTGTTTGCTATTCGACAAGAACATAAAATAAATTAGAATATTTCTGTTTAAATTAACATAAACACAAATGCGTGTACATTAGAGTTTCGTGGTTGATGGTCAAGAATAATTAATCAAGAGTAAATGCAAGTTGAGTTTTATTATTTTATCAAGTAAACTCCAAAAATGTCAATGTCTTAACGGTTGTCCCGACATACAATTTTGACTTTTGGTATTTGCACACTTCACCTATACATATACACATGTAACATGTTTGGTTGATTACATATTTGTTTCTTAATATTAGTATGTTCTAAAAATGTTTTACCTTTAATAAAACATGTAATTTGGACGTTTTCTAAACGATATGATATTTAGATGTTTTAATATATACGCAATATGGAACAAGGTAGGAACGTAGCAAATATGTATTAAATGTGATTTTTTTCTAGGGCTTTAAAACATGTCATGGACAACTGTTATTGGCTATTAAGTTCTCAAAATTTTAATAAAATCTAGTGTTAATTATTAGTTTAATGATTTTTAAAATATCATTGATAAAGTTTATTTATTAACAAAAGTTTCTTAGGTTATAATGCTATTCATGTATAGATTCTTTTCATTATTACTTAATACTTATATAACGCAACCTTTATTAAGTAGTGGTTTTGATAACTTTTAGAAGATTTTGATAATTTTTGGTGATTAGAGAAGTTTTTATGATTTTTTATTTAATAAAACTCTCTACAAGATTACAACGTAACTACACATAAAACCATGAGATTTTGATTTGTAATTTGAAGTAAGAAAATCCAAAAAAAAAAAAACACACCATGAAATCACTTAAAAATCCACTGCATAAATATTTCCAACAACAGTAGATTTAAATGTATATTTTCAGATCACTAACCAATTACAATAGATGTTTTGAAAATTTTTTGATTAATAACATATAACTTGTCATTTTAGATAAATAATTCTAAATTCTTGAGAGAATTAAACTCTTTTTATATCAACAACTCCACATATCTACTATATATAATGGAAATTTGAAAACAAAAACAGAAAAATGTAAGTTTACTAATTTTATGAAATAAGGAAATTCAAAACTTGTATGAACAATATGTAATCTTCTGCTACAACTAGAATTAGCTATATATATTTACAAATGGCAGATTCTATAAAGACATAAAAAACCATGAAATTATCACATATAGTTCTTATATGCATGGTCATATTGTCCATGTTAGCTCTACATGAGTGTACGTTTTGTGTTTCATTCTCATATATATGTATGAATGTATCTCTTTTATTTTCTTGATCATCATAGTTCTGTTTTGATGTTTCAAATAAATGTGTAGGTGGGAGGATACATCTTGAAGAGATAGAAAGATCGGTGCTCAAGGTTGCATTGTGTACTAAAACAGTCTTGTATAATCAAGATAGTTGGTGCTGCTTTGGGCCTAACCCACAGCAAAAAGTTTGTTGGGTAGCCAAAGATTATCCAAATGCTAAAGAAATATGCCTCCACAAATGTCCATTTTAAGATTTAAACCCTTTTGTAATAATAATAATAGTATATATGTATGTTGATTTCTTATTAAGACTTTATATTTTTTACTCATGCAAACCTAATCTCTTCAAACACAAAATTGAACTTCTTCTTTCACCAAGGCTACTCTACTCCTCCGTTCAATCTTCAGAAGGGAGTAACCATATCTCCCATCAGTAAAGTTAATACGATTAAAACAATGACGACGACGAAAACAACGAATATGTCATTGTCTATAGACTTGAACTTCTTCTTTCATTTCTCTACTTTTACCCTTTCTCCATCTTCGCAATTAATCTACTCCAAGACGACGAAAACAACGAATCTGTCATCGTCTATATCCATATCTCACTTGTATTAACAACATAAAAGTTACATTCTATTCTGTCATCAAGATCTATATCATAAAAATCCTTCTAATTCCAATGACACCTATTAAATCCTAAGTTAATCCTCCATGTGTTTCTCTCTGATTATGTAAACCCCTGTTAACGACTGTTAAGTCACGGTTTTGAACTTATTGACAATTCAAATATAAGATTTTCTTAGCCAAATATAATTAGATGAGGTATTTTTTGTCTAAAAAAAATTGGAGTATTAAATATCCAAAGAAAAATTAGATAGGTTATTTTTAGTTTCTCTCTGTAAAACTTAAACTCCGTTTAAAAATTCTAAATATGTAACGTCTCTTAGATCACATGTTTGAAACGCCGTTTAGTCTTTTCTTAATTTATGTGAAATGTGTCAAAATGACACTTTTTGTCAAACAGAGGGAGTATATATAAGTGTTGTGCATTTCATGGTATGAACTGGGAAGATAGTGAACTTCATGTTATGGTCACAATAGTAATCTGCATTGTGTTCCCCCGAGGCAAAGAAGTATATTTATGGATTACTCACAATTATCCAAAAAATTAAAGTGAGACGGATGCGGTCTAACTATATTTACTTTGTGAATTTGGCGAGATGGATTGGTGCAGGTCAAAAACGAATATAATCCCTTACAAAATGGATCGCGGATTAATTAGACTCGCATGACTGATCTAGGTCTAAAGAGAAAAAAATGTAGTTTAGGTTCGAAATTGTACTATTCTGGACTAAAATATCAATTTAACCCTACACGAAGATAAACTAGTTAAATTTAATACCATGATGCAAGAAAATCTAGAAAAAAACATATAACTTGGTGACTAGAGAAGTATTTATGATTTCCATATTTTATGAGACCACTTAAAATCCATTGCTTAAATATTTCCAATAACAATAGATTGTGGATTTATATTTTCAAATCACTAACCAATAATAATATATGTGTTTTAAGAAACATAAATGTATTTGTTCATTAATAACATATAACTTGTCATTTTAAGATAAATAATTCTATATTCTTGATTGAATGAACCCTTTTTTCTATCAACAAATCCACATATATACTATATATAATAGAAATTTGAAAGAAAAATGGAAATTAATTAATTTTATGAAATATGGAAATTTAGAAATTGTATAAACAATAAATAAAAATGGATGATCTTTTATTACAAGTAGATTTGGCTACATATATAATTACAAATGACAGATTTTATTTTATAAAATAGATAATCTTCTAGAAATATGATAAGATGATCTTCTAGAGAAGTTTTTATGATTTGCATATTTCATGAAACCACTTTAAATTCACTGCTTAAATGTTTCCAATAACAATAGATTTTGAATGTATATTTTCAAATCACCAACCAATAACAATATATTTATTTTAAGATAACATATATATATATATATATATATATATAGCATTTATGTATTTTCATTAATAACATATAAACTTGTCATTTTAAGGTAAATAATTCTAAACTCTTGATTGAATGAACCTCTTTTTATATCAACAAATCCACATATATACTATATATAATATAAATTTGAAAAACAAAAACAGAAAAATGGAAATTAATTGATATTATGAAATATGGAATTTAGAAATTGTATAAACAATAAATAAAAATGGATGATCTTCTATTACTAGAAGATTTGGCTATATATATAATTACAAATGACAGATTTTGAGCCATCCAAAACCATGAAATCATCACATATATATAGCTCTAATATGCATAGTCCTATTCTTCATCTTAGCTCTACATGAGTGTACGTTTTGTCTTTCATTCTCATATATAGGTACTTATATATATATTAAACGTTTTTGTTCAAAATAAAAATAAATATATATATATATATATATATATATATATATATATATATATTAAACGTTTCTCTTTTTCTTTTTTAATCATCATAGTTTTGGTTTTATATTTCACATAACTGTGTAAGAGGGAGGATACATCTTGGAGAGACAGAGATATCAGTGTTCAATGTTGATAAACCATTGTGTAAACCAAAATCAACTCAAACTGTTTTCAGACAGTTTTTTCATACCCAACCTATAATACTATACATTTACCAAGCTAAACCAACTTAAAATAAAAATTTTAACCTAATTTTTACAAAATTAGATGATTTCAATATTTATTAGAACAATGTTAATTAACCGTTTGACAGCGATGATGAGAGCGACACGGTGGCTATGACGAAGCATCTGGGGTAAGCAAAACGACGTGGTTTTACCAATCTTAGATCCCATTTTGTTTAATACACATAGCAAAAGAACCCTAATTTTTGATGTCGTTTTACAAATGGAAACTCGACTCTTTCACTAAGCAAAGAATCCTAGTTTTCATTTTTTTCCAATTCTAAACGACGTTATTTTGCTATGTGTGACTTAACAAACTCGAAGATTGGAAAAATGTCGTTTTTGTCACCCCAGATGTTCCTTCATAGTCTCCATGTCGTTTGAGTACTCATCACTGTTAAACGTTTATTTAATAATATTTCAGGAGATGTTAAAATCAGCTAACTTCATAAAATTCAGGTTGAAAAATTAAAACTTTAGTTGATTTAAGTACGTAAATGCATGGTATCATAGGTTGGGTATAAAAAAGCTGCCTGAAAATAAATTGAGTTCATTTTGAATCATTTTCCCCTAAAATCAGCGTGTATAATCGGGATATTTTGGTGATGCTTTGGACCTAACCCACAACAAAAAAATTGTTGGATAGCCAAATATTATTCAAAAGCTAAAGAAATATACCTAAAATATGTCCACTTAAGATATAAACCCTTTTATTTTAGTATAATAATGTACATGTATTTTGCTTTCTTAACTGAGAAAAATTACGGAAAATTACCCTTTTTGTTATTGGACGGTTAATACGTTATTTTTTTGTTGAAACAAAATATTTCATTTAATATATTGACGGCGGTTAGATCACATTAACAGCGGTTACAAATTCTGTAATGCCCATTAACGGCAATTAGATCACATGTTCGAATTCACCAACATTTTAAATGACCAAATTTATTCAAATCAGGAACTTTCTTTCAATAAGAAAAAATTTCCATATTAATCTTCGAGAAAATATATATGGGGTATTATTCGGATTTTTGTCTCTTTCTTAAATTCAAACTTTCATAAGCATTATTATCAAAAATTAAAAATTAAATCTAACTCTATAATGGAAAATTTATCTCTACTGTATAATGAAGTAAAAATAAAATCTCAATCAATCTCTTATCCCAAACAAAATAATTGAATCCCTTAAAGCAACAGAAAAAAAAAACTAATCAAAAAACCCTAAATCATATGTAAGTGTTGTCCACTTCATGTTACTTAGGAAGTGTGAGGAACTGGGAAGACAGTGAACTTCATGTTATGGTTACAGCAATAATCTCCATCATGCTCCCCGGAGGCAAAGAAGTAAGGCTGTATCTTCGTAAGTGTGAAGTTGAAACTTTCTTGCGATCCTTTCTTCGACGTTGAACCAATCTTTTTCGCGTTTTCGATATCGCAATTCATGTAACTCCATGGATCTTGGAACAAGTACACATTATTCCTACGCTTGGCAGATTTGCTATACTTGAAAACTGTCCAAATATTAGAAGAAAAAATCACCAAATTACTTAGGTTATAAAACAATTATACTTAAAAATTTCATTAAATTAGAGTTATTCAATACTATAACGTTACCAAAGTGAAGTTACGTACCAAGAACATCATTGATGTAGAAAGGAGCATTATCGGAAGCCCACTGTTTGTAATCTAACCCTTTTGTCCATCCGTCTGATCCTCCAACTACGATCTTTCTTGGTCCTTCATTGTCCACATCCGAACCCGAACCCGAACCGGAACTGTTTGAGTTGTTGTTGTCTGAATCCCAACTCCAACTCCAACCTGACTTAGGACTCCAGTTCCAACTCCAACTTGAACCGTCAGGGTTGGTACCTGAACCTGAACCTGAACCCGAGCCAGAGCCACTTGACCTATCAGATCCCCAGCCCCAACCCCAACCCCAACCAGAGCCATCAGAGTTTGAACCTGAACCTGAACCTGAACTTGAGCCTGAGTTGTCTGAGCCGGATCCCCAACCAGAGCCATCAGAGTTCGAACCAGAACCTGAACCTGAGCCTGAGTTATCTGAGCCGGATCCCCAACCAGGGAACCAGCCCCAACCCCAACCAGAGCCATCAGAGTTTGAACCTGAACCTGAACCTGAGCTTGAGTTGTCTGAGCCGGATCCTGAGTTGTCTGAGCCGGATCCTGAGTTGTCTGAGCCGGATCCTGAGTTGTCTGAGCCGGATCCCCATCCCCAACCAGGGAACGAGCCCCAACTCCAACCAGGACCTGAGCTAGAGCTACTTGACCCATCAGATCCCCAGCCCCAACCCGACCCGTTACTCCAACTCCAACTCCACGCCTCTGCGCCAGATGAGGAGAGACATGCAATGGCCACGACCAGTATAAGCAGCTTCTTTTGTGAACCAGAGAGAGCCATCTTTTTCTTACGTGCTTTGTTTTAGTATTTGTTGTGTATAGGTTGTGAGAAACGTATTTATAGAGAAGGATATAACTTAAGAAGTATATTCCTACTTGATCTATGAACAGAATATTTAATTAACAACGGTTTTCAAATTTATATATCTTAATTGTTTTGATAATTATAAGAACTATATTTTTTCAGATAAATATATAAAACTAGGATAGATTATTATTTCTTATAATTCTACAAACTGAATAGGAACCTATATAAATATCCCAAAATATATCCCAAATAGTTCTGTTTTTTGGACCAAGTTTTCGGGTAGTCGGATTTTTGGGTTTTCAAAAACTTAAACAAACAAAAAATTGTGTTGGGTTAGGTCGGATTTCGAGTCGGATTTTGTTTTGGGTTTCTCCGGTTTAGTCTTGGATTTTTCCAGGTTAAAATCCGAAATAGGTTAAGATAAATTAAACTCTAGTTAAACCGGTTTCATTTCAGTATAGATTGGCATAACTTTTGGTTTTTTCTTTTTTTAATATCAAACTATATAAAAAAAAGTAATCAGTTGTGGGTCAAATCGGTTACAAAACATAAATCTCAATCTCTCCGAATTAAACCGAATTCCATATCGGATTGAACCAAAGCCCGAAAAAACCGGGTCGGGTCGGCAGCTCCTAGTATGGTCATAGTCGCAGGCCAGTTGCAGTAATAAAAACCAAAATGGCTGATAAAAAGAAAAGAGATCGAATACAATGTGTCTTCGACAGATGAAAAAAGTGTGGCTGGAGAACTATTTCTTTGATTCTAAAGACTAAAACTCATTTTGCACCATAAAGATTAAAAAGGTACAAAATAAGCGTTGTGTAAAGTTGTAAACTGTGCAAAAGAGAGATACCAAAAAAACTTAACTAATCTTTCATTGCATTTTCCTCTTCTTCTTAGGATGCAGTTGCGGGTTCTTGCTCTCATCTAAACTATTCTGCGGTTGCGGATTCTCATTCTCATCTAAACTTTGCAGATTCCCATTCTCATCTAAACTTTCCAGCTTCCTCTTTTTCGAATGAAGATTCGCTTCCGAATCTAAACTTTGCCGCGTCTTCTTTTCTAAACTCCTCTGCACCTTCCGATCCTTCTTCTCATCTGTAAGTTGCTGGAGTTGAAGTTGCTTTACGATACGACTCAACGGAGAAGATTTCAGAGTTCTTATCATGTGGGAGGCTGCGTTGTTTTCAGCTACCTTCTTACGTTTTCTTAAGAAACCGTTGACGCGTAAGGTACCTTCTTCGGTTGATGTCTCAACCTCAACTGTATAAACATATCCCTTGGAAAAGCTCTGAAAACTGAAAAGATTTGAACAAAGTAACAAACAAAATGGTTTTTAAAGTTAATATAGCGCGTTGAGGCACACACAGTAAAGACAATTATATTGTTCTCTCTACCCTTAGATTGTAAGATCACTAGACAAGACATAAAATGACATGTCTCAATATATACCTGAAAACCGGGTTTGGCCACTTTCTGTCTTTGCAAATCCCGATCAACTTCTCTTTTGCGTCTTCATATTCAATGTAATCATTCATTACCATTTCAACAGGCATAGTTTCTGACAACGTCTTTAACGCCGCCTTAGCAGCGCTCATCTTTGCGATATTTGAACACTTATTAGGGTACCCACATGCTATAAATTTATCATCAAGATATACCTCGCCAATCGTGGATCGGTTGCCAGTTTTACGATACCTGAACTCGACTCGCTTGCCGTGCTTATATCCGAAACAAAATAGCGTAAGCATAATATCAGGTTGCTGCTGCCGCATATCATCAAGTGTAGGTATTGGCTCGAAAAGAACCCTTAATATCTGCAAATTTCATTTATTTTTTTTTAAATTGAGATTCATATAACATAGGATTTCAAAAACAAAATCTGAGTGAGAACGCAACACACCTCCCAGAATCTTTTAACATCAAGATTCACATCAATATAAACAGCTCCAGCTATAGAATATACAATGTCAACGAGTAATCTTGGGGATTTCACCAATTTATATGGATCTGGATCATCTTCTTTGCCCATCAACTCTATGAACTTGATTATTTTCTAAGAGATGACACCAAAAATATTGAGTATATCATAAGAAGATATGTTCTCTATCCAGTGAAAATTCAAAGAAATGAAATGATTACCTCTCGTTGCTCGGGAACATTGCCTATAAGGAATCGGTAGATGCCTTGTTTGACGACAAGACGAGAGAGTCTATCAAGAGATATATTTGCCGTTCGCAAATGTTCCAACTCATTAGGTTCAAGCTTAGGGTACGTGATGTACATGTGTTTTGTGAAGACGAGAGAAAGAGCAGGCTCGCCAGCGAAGATAAGCCGCTGACGTAAAAGTGAATTAGAACTTTTATACTGTAGCGCTTCTCTCAGAAGATTCTTGTTCGTGAAACTGTAATTTAAGATCTTCTCCATAGCTTCCACTGCATCTTTACTTTCACACATTTGCAGTTTACGTATGACAGGAGAAGCCACAGCTTCCACTGCATCTTTACTTTCATACATTTGCGGACTACATATGACAGGAGAAACCACAGCTTGCACTGCATCTTCACTTTCATAGATTTGCGGATTAAGTATGACAGGAGAAGCCACAGCTTCCACTGCATCTTTACTTTCATACATTTGCAGATTACTTATGACAGGAGAAGCCACTGCTTCCTCTGCATCTTTACTTTCATATATTTGCAGATTACTTATGACACGACAAGATTCCAAGGCTCTTATCATGTAGTAGGCTGCGGAGTTTTCTGCTTGCTTTTTCTTGAATCCTCTATCTCCCTTCATGTGAAAGGTACTTTCTACAGTTGGGATCTCAATCTTAGTTGAACAAACAAATCTACGCTTATTTTTCCGCCCTGGTTGATCCTTAAAACTTAAAAGAGACAAACACAGTAACAAACATGTTTTAAGTTAATATGGCACGAATATGCTTACTGAGGCACACAAAAGTTTTTCAAAAGCACAGCCAAACTCACATTGATATTACGAGTACAGTTTCTTAGAGCATACAAGTGTGACTTGTCTACCCTAAATTGTAAGAGTTTAACCATAGATTAGCAAACATGTTCTCCTTCTTTAAGATTATAAGAGCCTAGACTACTCATAGATATTAATTTGGCTTTGGTTCATGATCCTTGTTAAACAGTAATTAGTACTTAGACAAGAAAAATCCTTGATAAAGTAAAGATAAATGTAGGGACAAGATATACCTGAAGATCGGCTTGGGCCACTTATTGTCGGCGCAAATCTTAGACAACTTCAAGCTCATACCTTTAGGTATATCCTCATCAACAGCCCGTTTTATTGTCATTTCATAGGTTAAAGGGTTCGTAAAGGTAGTGGACGAAGAAGATGATCCAATTTGTATCTGGAGCTGTTTAGTAGAGAAAATCTCAGACAACTTCCCTTTCGCAACTTCAGGTTCAACATTAGGACTAACTTCATCAATAACAATTTGCTCTTGTGTCTTTTCATCGGTTAAAAGATTCTTGGAGGCAGTGGGCAAAGAAGATGATTTGGTCTGTGATGGAAGCTTTTCAGCAGAACAAACCTTAAACGACTCAACATGAGGACTATCTTCATCAAAAACAACTTTTTCTTGTGTCTTTTCATCGGTTAAAAGGTGCTTGGAGGTAGTGGGCAACGACGATGATTTGGTCTGTGATCGAAGCTTTTCAGCAGAGCAAACCTTAAACGACTCCCCTTTCACATCTTCATGTTCAACATGTGGACTAACCTCATCAACATCCATTTTTGTTGGTCTAACTTCATAGGTTAAAGGCTTCTCAGAGGCAGTTTGCAAAGAAGATGATTCCGTCTTCTTTTCCATGGCGCAAATCTCAAACAACTTCCGTTTCACATCTTCAAGTTCAACATTTAGACTATCCTCATCCATAACTGTTTCATCTGGTATCACAGGGTTTTCAGAGGTGGTAAGCAAAGAGGACGATCCACTCTGTAACCGAAGCTTTTCAGTGGAACAAATCTCAAACAACTTCTTTCTCGCATCTTCGATTTCAACTTTCAGACTCTTCTCATCAACAGTCTTTTTAATGGGCCAAGCTGACAGATTATATAATGCAATTTTAGCAGCGCTCTGCTTTGCACTCTCTATACTATTAGCAATCCCACTACTCACAAATTTATTACCAACATAGACCTCACAAACATTTCGATTCTCCTGATCCGTTGAAGACACAAACTTGATTGGTTTGCCGATTTTATCAACCAAATGAGAAAGTCTAAGAAATAATCTTTCTTGAGGTGGCTCCCCTAAACAATCCAGTGTATATATTGGCTCCACAAGTCCCCTGAAGATCTACAAAAAAGTTTCTTCATTTTGTATTCAAGAGTCGTATAACATAGAACAAAGACAAGAACACATACCTCCCAAAATCTTTGCATATCAAAATCCACATCAATGAATATAGCTCCAGCTATTGACTCTATAAGATCAGCGAGAATCTTCGGAGCTCTCACCGCTCCACCATACGGAAGTGGTTCATCTTCTTTACTCACCACTTCTACGAACTCTTCAATCTTTAAGACCATCACACCAAAACCAACCAAAACCAAACAGCTTCTTGGTAAGAACATGTTCTTAATACATTCAACATCAAACAAAAACAAAGCCACCACTACTGATAAAAAATTCAAATGACACCAAAACCAAACAGCTTCTTGGTAAGAAGCTCTTCTCAAATCATTCAACATCAAACAAAAACAAAGCCACCACTACTGATAAAAAATTCAAATGACACCAAAACCAAACAGCTTCTTGGTAAGAACATCTTCTCAAATCATTCAACATCAAACAAAAACAAAGCCACCACTACTAATTGAATTCAAATGACACCAAAACCAAACAACTTCTTGGTAAGAACATGTTCTCAAACCATTTAACATCCAACAAAAACAGAGCCACCACTACTGATAACAAATTTCAAATGACACCAAAACCAAACAGCTTCAAATGTAAGTGATTGATATTTTTTGAAATACCTGTGCCTCTGTCTTAGGATCATAATCCTCAAAGACAAGACATTGGTGGAGTTTGTGCTTAACGGCAACACGAGCGAAGGTCTCATTACTCGCACTCGCAGATCGTATCTTGTGAAGCTCCTTAGGTGAGATTTTGACATCAGGATAAGTGAGGATGGTGTAATTAGTGAAGGCAAGCCCAACGACTGAATCGCCGAGGAACTCAAGCCGTTCGAATAAAGCAGGTGATTCCATATTACTACATGATGTTAGTGTTATAGCTTCCTTGAGAAGATTCTTGTCTTTAAAACTGTAGTTCAAAATCTTCTCCACGGTTTCTACAGGTTCCATCTCCGGCCAAAGCTTAAGGCGGCGTCGATGATCGGAAGATTATTAGGTCAGTAACACACACAGCGTGTTCGGTGTTTTTTGGTTTCATTACAAACCAACCATAGTCATTTGTATTATCCGGTTTGGTTTTGGTTTAAATTAAATCAAACTCAAACATAACATTATTGAACCAAAACCAAAACCAAAACCAAATCGGATTATAATTATAGTCTTAGCTAAATTCTGTAAATCCTCATATTTGGGTTTAATGATGCAATTTAATCAAGTAATAATAAAATTTTAACAATAATTATCACATTAGTATTACTCCTACAAAATTCTACATTTGTAGCTTTTATGAGACATTATTAGTCCTAGGCAATATAACTGAACCTAAAGTATCAAACCGAAACCGAACGGAAAAAAAAGAAAAACCGGACCAAAACAAACGTAATAACCGATTGGATAGTAAATTTCAGAACCTAAAAACACCAGAACCAAGAACCGAAGGGATACCCGAAATACTCAACACTTAGCTGTATTTTTAAAATATCAATTATATTTATACTTGATATTACTCAATAACCAAAAATTTCAATTATAAATCCATAAATATATCAAAAAAATAATATTGATTGGATATATATCAAATACTTTTAGACTAATGTAACTAAAATATTTAAATTAACCAATATATTTAAATTAGGCATAATTTAGAAAATTTAATCATTTTAAAATAAGAGAAAATTATATGGGTTGTCATGAACAGTGACCAAAGTTGTGTGGAGTGCCACATTTTAATTGGACTTCTCCCTGTTGCCACATGGCCTATGAAGAAGACTGTTTTGCCCTTCTCCAGCTATTAGTACACAACTTCCCACTTTCACATCTTTTTCTCTCTCTTGTGAAAAGAACAAGATTTGTCTGATGGATAAAAAGTTGACATTTTTCAATTTTTTTGTTAGACAAATAATTCAGCCACCATCTACCTCATAATCGATCCCTTTCCCTAGCCTAAGAGTAAACATTTGATGGACAAGATCCATCCATCATGATGTCCATTAATAGTTATATCCTTTATACTAATTTGTCCTTTATGTATGTTTGTCCTCAGTATCAGATTCTCTACTAAACTCATCCTTGGACTCAAAGCCATGTCAAAAAAATGTCTATCGAACTTCGTCAAATTAATGAAAATGTCCATCGTCCACAACACTTCCCATCACACTTCCCAAATCTTAATCGATAAGTTTTCTTCTATAATATTTTTTCGATGGACCAAATTCAATAGACTAAAATATGTATTATTTTCGATGGACCAGATTCAATAGACTATATAATGTCCACTAGATCTAGCGAAAATGATGGACAACACATATGTCCGGTCCATTTCTGCATATTCGAATTCTCGATTAATCCATCTTAGATTTAGATTTTAGCTTTTGCTTTATTTTATAATAAGCCATTAATTTAAACTAATATACACTAGATATTTGCATTCTCCTTTGACATTTAATGCTCTTTACATGTCAGAAAAAGCTGTGCCAAAACCACTCAATTAGGCGGGGGTAGTTTCGTCCATTTGCTCCATGCTTTTTCACTAGATGTGGCACTCTCCAGAAGACTTACACTAAAATGGCAGTTCCAATTTTTTTGTTAGTCAAACTGGCACGATAGATAATAATCCCTTAAAATAACAATCACTATTTCAGATAGAGGAATTCCTCAAAATACCATCATTTTGGTTTTTTTCCAAAAATACCACTAATATCAAATTATTGTTCAATGGTATGAAATTTTAAATCTTTGGTTTGGGTTGATTATTTTGCAATTTAGGGTATAGTATTTAGGGGATAGGCTTTAATGTTTAGAATTTAGATTAAAATTTAAAGTTTAATTTTAGTCTTTTGGTATTTTTGCCCTAAAAAAAAAATATTGGTATTTTAGAGAATGTCCCAATCTAAAAAAACTGAATAGATCCTAAACTTCTCCACCGAAATACTCAGAACAGAATAGATATACATGTTATGTACCGATACTCGAACTCGTAGGACTAGACATTACCATCATAATTTGAAGATAAGACTACGGCATAACTAGAAGTTGTTTAGTTTTAGCCTTGCGTCGTTTGTCTAATGTCTATAGTACTTAAAACCAATGAAGATCAATTAGTTACTTAGTTAAACATACCAATAAAAAAAAAAAACATACCAAGAAAACCATTTCGTGTTAGTTTCAGATTGTTTCATGACAATTTTTAGTGTTCTTTCTCCAAATCTGACTTTAAATTATTTGGCTTCGTTCTCAGGCTTCCATAGTTTTTGAAAGGGTGGGCATTTAAACCGAACTTCAACCAATCCAAACCAAACCCAATCTTACACTCAAACCATTTGGTTGTGTTTCTTCTCAACCCAAATAGTTCGGTTCAGTTCGGTTTAAAACTGAACCAAACCAAAAACCCAATGTGTTAATTAATTAATAATATTATTGATATCGATACTATTGTAAACAACTAAATATGTAATCCAACATTCTTTCAGAATTTCATTTTTATTTTCTACTATTGTTAGGCACTTGATTTAAAATATTTTTTAAGATTTTTATTTATTGGTTTACTTGAATTATTATTGAGTTTACAATTTGTTGATTACTTAATTTTTTTTTTTTAACCAAATAAAACTGAACCAAATCGAACCAAAACGAAATGAACACAAACATGCCCAAACACAAACCAAGCTAACTGTGAGGATGAGAACTTGATGAACAAGGTTTATCAACTACACAAGTGCTACACAAAGGCAAACAAGATGGTAACTAGAGTTAAAGTAAATTAACTCTGGTTGGATATGGCTTTTGGGACCACAAGGTGTCTTTGCAGTTGCTATCCAAGAAGGATCGTTTGTCCATTTGTGGATCCAGCAGAAACATTAGGTCTAAGGAGTGTCTCTTTATAAGCACTAACCTAAGGCACATAAAGTGTGTCGCAGCCAAGCGGCCAGAAGAGGAGTGTGTGAGAAAGCCACAATGTGAGAGATGTAAGCAAGTATGAGAGATAGGCATTAAAGGTGTAAGCTTTGGTGTTTCTCTTGAGAGTGAAAAACAGAGGAGATACAGAGAAGAGAGCTCAAGTGTGAGTCTCTTTCTCAGAGGGATTCTCTCTTGTATTTTGTAACTTGCTTGTTCTAGTGGATTCCGAGGAGAGTCTCGGCCCAGACGTAGCTATCCCTTTGTGGAAGTGAACTGGGTAAACAAACTTCTTTGTGTGCTCCTCTTCTCTTTCCTTTTGCTCTGTTTCTATCTTCTTCTTCTCAGTTATATGTTTTGCTCTGTTAAAAGATCTTGGTTTCTTGACAAGTCAGAGAAAGCTTGAGGCTTTGATGGTTCTTAAAACCTAACAAAGTGGTATCAGAGCACAGGTTAGTGCTGAAAGACTCAAGCTTTATAAGGAAGATGCAAGTTTTGTCTAGAAGGTCTCACCTTTAGAAGCAATCAACAATGGCTTCTGGAAAAACGCAGCTCTAGTGTAACGATGGGTTTTGGAGATGACTTCTCAAAGAAGACGGTGTGTCTTGTCCATCTAGAAGACCTAGATCTGCTTGAAGCGTTGAGAGAAGTAGATGGAGGAATATAGAGATTTCTGTTGAAATCTGTAGAAATCTCGGATTTAGGCAGAGGAAGTTTGTCACGAGCTCTAGTGGTGTTTTGAGATTGAAGACAAGGACGTCGGGAGTATCTCACCGGTAAAGGCTGAGATTCCGACGGAGTGGCTCGAGATTCAGACATAGTCGTGAAAGAGTTGACGACGAAGCTATGTGTAGAACGAGCCGGAGAAGGCGAAGCTTCGAGTTTTTTTCACTATCGTGGAAGAGACGCGGTGAGAGTGAATTGCGAAGGTGTGGTGACCATAACGTCACCGGATAACATCAGACTGTTGGCCGTGAAATCGTGTTACGGTGGCCGACGGTGAAGAGAAGAGAAGATTGGCACGACAAACTCTTTTCTTATATTGGACCAAGATGGGCCTTTTCCCTCATTAATGAAATTTTAGTGGGCCTGAAGTTTTCTTAATGCCCAAAAGTTAACAAAATTAAGAGAAACAGTCACGTTTCTCTTGTTGCTTCTCTTGATGAAGCGATTGAGGTTGAAGCTCAAAGAGACAGTCAACGATGAGAGAAGCTAGCTTTGCCGAAGCTGTAGAGACTC